CGTCCCCACTTTGCGGCCTTGGGTAAAAATCTGGTAACGCTGCTTCCGATATCTGACTAGCACCTAGCACCTGGGTCGCTACAGCAACACGCACGCGCTAAACCAGTCGATTCAAATCACTAAAATTACGCCAAGGGATATTAGAAAAATATATTTTGAAAATTACTCCCTGCGATGCACGCTTATTTTACGAATTATATATTTTTTTCATGCTGTTGCTCGCTCCTTATATAATTTTACAATCTCGGTCTTCATCCCTGACACTGTAAGTTTCGCCTTAATTTACATACTTCTACCTGATTATAAGAACGTCAGAATAATGTAAATCAGTAAACGTCGTACCATATACGATTATGCGTAATTTGTTACAACTGCGATGCGTGAGACAAGTTCGTATAGTTTTACAAAATATAAACCCAGAAGATTTGTCTACTAATCGAAATTTACAAGACATCGTGTACATTATAAAAATCTAATAATTAAACGTAATTATATGCATTTGCAATGTTGCTCGATATCTTTATACATTTAATTATGTCGCTTGCGCATCGAGAGGGTTCGTTCGAAATCGATTAAGCGCAACACGTCTAAAGTTAGTAAAGTCAAGACTGGCCATGAACTTTGAATATCGTGGAATAATATCACGTGCGTCATAACAACGTGAAAGCACGTTATCGTGTTCGCAACAGAGAGATTTGTCAACTTTAAACTGGTTAACCGGCTCCTAGCTCACTCTGTGACTTCGAATGTTATTCAATTTTTGTACACACACTTGTGCGAAAAATGGCAATAAATGCTGCCAAAGCTGTTTTAAAACCAGGGAAGACTGTTCTACTAATATGTGACTTCCAAGAGGGATTCTCCAAAGTTATGTACGAATACGATAAAGTTGTACAGAATGCCGCAAAATTGGTAAATATTCATACTATAATTATATTAATACTATAATCATGTAGAATATGAATGAAAATAAGGCTTAAAGAAATTATTGAGATCGATAATCTTTAAAAAATTGAAGGTTATGTCTAAAATTTATTAATACATAAAAATGAACTATAATTGCATTCTTAGGTGAAAGCGTTAAAAACTTTAAATGTGCCCATGATCGTTGCTGAGCAGTACCCAAAGGCTCTAGGTAAAACAAATTCTCAACTTGATATTACTGATGCTAAAGGACCATTTGCAAAGACTAAATTCAGTATGTCTTTACCTGAGGTATGGTCATTGTGTAGTTTTTCACGTCTGATTATTAATTGTTTTTTCTTTATTAACTTTAGATAAATGAAGAACTTTCAACAATTTGCTGTGGTCAAAAACCAGAATCAATTATTCTCTTTGGGATTGAGACCCATGTGTGTGTAGAAAATACTGCAGTTGATTTAAGACAGAATGGATATGAAGTGCACACTATTGCAGATTGTTGTACTTCGCGTACTCAAGAAGACAGATTATTAGCTTTCGAGGTAAGATCTATAGACGAGCTAATATTGCTGCGACAAAACATAAGTTATGGTAGGATGTATTTGCTATTTCTATATTGTATTTACAGAGAATGAGAGGAATAGGATGTCATATAGCTACATCGGAGAATGTCATCTTTAAATTAGTAGGAGATGCAAAGCACAAGGAATTTAAAAATATTCAACGTATTGTAAAAACACCAATTCTACCTACAAATCTAATTCCACATTCGAAATTGTAGGTATTGATTCACAATAATGAACAAAGGAAAAACATTTCCCTGTGCCATGCTTAGCATTTAGGAATACTTTTTGTAAAATGTATACAAAATATTTTTATTTATGTATTGATACTGAACAGAAAAATATATAAATGAGACTTATGATATTTCACAGAATGTAAAAAGTTATGTCTATGAAAACATCTTTTTCCTTAATCACTATCTCAATTTGTTCCTGTTGAACCAAACCCTCCTTCCCCTCTATCCGTATTATCTAAAGATTCTCCTTCCTGAAGTTCAGGATACTCTATTTTCTCACAAATTAACTGGGCTACACGATCTCCTGGCGAGACCTTAAAGTCTTCGTTACTGTGATTAAATAATACAACACCCACGTTTCCCCTGTGTTAAAAAAAGATAAAATAAAAAAAAATAAAAAAAAGTGGGGCAGGAACATTCATCAACCATTCACTGAATACATAACCATACAAAGATGTTTGATCTATTTCACAATATAAGATTCTTTAATATTCAGGAAAAAAGATTCATATCATTCGTCTGCTACAGTCCTTGTGATAAAATATATAAGTTCTTAAAACTCACCGGTAATCCGAATCAATAACGCCAGCGCCTACATCAATATGATTTTTCCATGCCAATCCAGAACGTGGTGCTATTCTTCCGTATGTTCCCTCAGGAACTTGAACTTGCAAATCAGTCTTGACAAGTTCCTTACCATGAGCTGGCACAATATATTCATAGGCACTATTAACATGAGAAGCAGAATTTATACTATCGTTCGAAATTTCGTTAATATGAAGCACGTGAAACGCCGGTTGTGGAACGTACCTTTTCAGATCATATCCAGCAGCATATTTCGATCCTTTCGTTGGCGCATACGCTTTATCTGTTAATTTCGCAAATTTCAGTACCTTCGTACCATACATCATGGCTTTAGCACCGTTTGTTACCGACATGTTAGACTTGTACAACCGTCTAATTCGAAACACTAAACTGACACTAACGCGAATCACCTTTCAACTCTTGCTTCTTACACCGCAGTTTACCGCGCTTTTGGTGGACGTTGATATTACGTGAATCAAGCAAGCGAAATTAATTTGTTTTTACTATTTAAACTGAATGCAATAAATGTATCATTTAATATTATAAATTTCGTAATGATTATTTATCTTTCAAATAAAATGTATTTCTCTCTATATGTTTCAGCAAAGTAGCGAATGGATAAAATTAAGAATCATATACGAAAATATATTTTGAGTTTGCCAGTATCCGCATATGAGAGCATAGGATTTGAACGATCTTGAACTTCTATAACGATGTTGTATGAAAATATCTTTAAACATAATTAATTAGTAATGATAACCATTTAAGAGAAAAAGTTACTCGCAGATTCTGACTTAGAATAAATATGTGTTGATCAAGCACAATTCGAAATTTTGTTTTCAAATGTAGTATTCAGGTTTTATACTTCACAGTATAATGTACAATAAAATATTATATTACAAATTGTATTTTACAATGATAAAGTCACAGCTACATAAAAATTGTTGCGCCGGCGCCGCTTTAAGAATCAATACAAGTTGTTAACATATACCTGATTATTTTGCATAATGTAAATTACTCTCTGGATTGAGAAGAAAAGAGGGTTGTAGAGGTAGGTAGGCTTCCCGCCAAACAAGAGCAATACAAAAATACCGTTAACCAGACAATTTCCTAACCTTAAAATAACATCTAGGATTCTCTAGATGGCGTTAAAGTGACACCTGTTCTGTTAGTAATCAGATATCTACATACCCGGATTCTCAAAATTTATCAAAAATTTTGCGCGCTTCGAAATGGCGGACCTTGGCGGTCATATTTATGGTTTGAGTGGACTTGGATTTGACAATCTTGTCTTCATCATACCTGGGATCATAGTTATTGGTTTCGCCGGTAAGAATAAATTTCCCAAAAAGCGCGGCACCTCACACGATCTCGATATTTCTAAAATACAGGATTTCTTTTGTAATTTGTGCCTTGTTTTTGTTATCTTTTGATTGACGAAATCATGTATCGTATTTACTCTTTGTCAATCGGCAGCATTCGGTTGCGAGAATTCCATTTGGGGCAACAGGTTTGAACTACTTGCACGAGGTCAAACGCTTCCAGCTGTTGCACATGATTCAGATTTATGAATAGAACGGACCGTGTTAAGTTACAACATATTACGATAACAGATGCATGATTTCATTGATTCGATTTCCTGAACCATTACAATACAAAATACATTAATATCGTTAACGTCAACGGAACTAATGACCTTTTTATACAACGTTTATTTCAAAACCATCGAAAGCGAATGAATATGATTAATTTGAAACGGAGTTATCCTTTTCGGTGCATCTGACAAAAATAACGTAGGCTGATAATTAATTATGTAGATATATATGTATCATGTCTCTTTAATAACGCAACGAGTGATATTACGTAGCGACGCAGGAGAAACGTAATGCGCCTGCTTAACGCATTTTAATCTACACGTTGTAAAGGCCAGGCTATTCAGCTGAGGACAACTCGCATCTCGTGGCCTCTTGTCGTAACACGTTGCATTTGAAACAGCCACGTTGGCCTGTCATATATACATGACTACCAATAAGATAAGAATCCTCTTTCGAACGGACGAATCAACGGTTGTTCGCTTTATCATCGATTATCTTCCCGCCAAACACGAGTGATCTATCGAAGTAAATTTAGTAAACGATCATTCTTTTCAGTGCCATATACCTTCTTTCGTGAAGATTTTCTTTCAAACTGCTACTCCGTTTTTGCGGCGATCCATATTTTTAAATTACTGTTAGTTTTTCGATTTCTAAGGTACGTTATCGAGTTACAATTCGAATACGAACAAAAGTTGGTTCATCAATGACCTTTCACTGTCAAGAGCGATTCATCACGAACTAAACATAAGCTATGTCACTTCTTCGACACGTTAGATTTATATAATTCAGTTTGAAATATTGTGCGTGTCGAGCAGATATTCCGGGATCAGTAACGTCCATTACCAGTCATCATTGCTCTACAACAATATCGTCTTTCAAATTCTTGATTGAGGACATCTTAGGACGATCGCGCTTTGTAATAAATCGGTTTTTCACGGATAACAGTTGTAATCAGGATGTGGGTATTGAGACTTGTGAGTGGCCTCCTGATTATCATTGCATTAGCAATTGCGGATGATGCACCGAACGTTGCATCGGAAGTAGATTCTGATGCGATTCCAGAAGTAATCCCAGGTTACCAGGGAGAAATTCCAACAGAGGAACAGTTCCTTGAAGTTCTAAATTCAATGCCCGACTTATCAGAGAAGGATAAGGAAATAATCAAGAAGGATCTCCTAAAATATATGCGAAAAGCTGCTCCTACCCTGGAGCCGGAATCTACCTCCTCAGTTGATTCTTCAACCGAAGCTGAAGCGATTGTGCACACCGTAGTTCTAATATTCTTTTTGAGCTTCATTGCCCTAATTTTTGGTAAATATTTTATCAATCCTCATTCTTGAGACAGAATTCGATCAAGTTCCGTTAAGTGAAGCTGTTTGAGAATTTATTTTCAAAGTATCGACGTTGCAATGCGAGAATTGTCCACCGGCTGTGTTATTCAGAAAACATTTTGATATTATCAGCTACGTTGCATAACGATATAAAAAATGAGCGGGTTACAAATAAGTACAACATGTACACTCTCGGTTCAGTTCGATATTATACCTGTTATCTAATCGACCGCTTAGCCCGAGTCCGCGTGAACAATCATTTAATCTTAATTCTCGTCAGCAAAGCAATATTAGTCATTCGACTTCTTGACTGAGTACTCGTTGTATAAAGAAAGTTTCGTTAGTCCGAATATGGCGAAACATGAAAATATATTAAACTCGTTACGGGACCACGGAGTACTGTCCGAAAGTGCTCAACAAAAGTTGTTAAATATCTTACCGAACGGTGCCAAGGAAAAGTTATCAAACATCTTTCAGCGATATCAAGAATTAAACGATGAAGAAAAGCAAGAGTTTATGAATGAAGCGTTCGACAAGTTTAAACAATCGTTGCATGATAAAGTGTACAATAATTCAACGTATATGCAATTATTTTCTTCCCATTCTTATATCGTTTTCGTTTTTGCTGTGCTGTTTGTAGTTCTTGTTCTTGGTACGTTATTTTTGACAATTAAATTAACGTTCGTTACATTATTTCGTTGCGTTCTTTGTACGGTTTCAGCTTTCTTCCTTTACAAGTTGTTCAAGATCTTGACGGAGAGGGAGACGAAACGAGAGGAGAAAAAGAAAATGAAGCAAATGAAGAAGAAAAAGTAACGCTAGTAATATTAGCGATACCGCATGACAGGACGTGATGCAAAGAAAAGTGAATATACAGCATGCCACAAATTGCAACAACAAGTTGCACTGTCACGCGAGAAACTCTATTCGTATTTTACGTACTGTGAAGGAAAAACGTTTTATTATCATCTATTCTATTTTGTTAAATAAAACAATATATTTATGAATAAAACGTGGTGTCTATTTATTGGAAGATCATACATTTTGGCAACAGAAGATATTTATTGTGCCGTTTTATGATATAAAATTAACATGCGTAGGAATTTCGAGATATAACATCATGCAGCCGGATCCCATACACCTTCCATGTGTTACAGTAAAAGTTCACCGAATTCATCTTACGTATATTGTGTCTAAGATAAAATATGTACGTCAATATAGTTTTCTTGTCTATTAAAATATGTACAGTCCTATCGGTTGTAATATGCTTCATTGTGATGTGAAACGATACATTTTTCGCGTTATGCATTGGCCACTGAGATGGGCTATTGACTCAATACACGTATGATTGTACACAATATGTACAAAAGAGTATTAGTATCGTAAATGTTGATCAAAAAATTTATTGCAAATTATGAAATTGATAGTTTAAACGAAAACTAGCTTACGATTTAGCATTTGGTAATATGTTATAATACTTAATATCTTCCCTATGATATTCGAAGACATTCAAGGGAAAGTTCATTCTTCTATAATTTGTACTACGAAATAAATTTCTCCCTGTCAAAATGTAATCACGATTGTTTCTAATTCTAAAAACGTTTAGTAGATAAATTCTAACACATTGCTATAAATTAAAAAACAAAACAAATAAGAGAAAATAAGGCACCTATAGTTTTACTAAGGCCACCATTTAAATATTGAAGTGTAGGAACTTGTTACAATGTTCCATGCTTTCTTTCTTATTTCAGCAAAGTACCTCTGTTTAGAAGTATGCTTTGCGTTTTTTTAGATTTCATAGTTTTATAATAAATCGTGATCATAAAAAATATATTACAATTTTTGTAAATAGAGATCATATTCATCAGCAACGTCTACTTTGAAAATTTTCGATTATGCACTAAAATCTGTAAAACTGCTAATAATAATCAACATTGATGAATAATCATAACAATAACAATATTCGTGCGAGAATATTGTTAAGTTTATAAACTTGCTTGTGGCACAATGGTTGGAGTAATTACCGCTATCTGAATATTCTTAAGAATTTCTAGATAAGTCTTCAAACTAAACAATTTACTTAAACCCTAATAAAAAAACTTAGTTGGATCATTTGTATATTATTTTCGTAATGACTGGTATTTCCGCGGAAAGTAATATATGTATATAAAATATATAATTTGATGTACAGCTATACTTTTAACACTGGAAGTAACACGTACGTTTAGCTCCAGAAGTATCGATTACTTATGACTTAAGATACATGTAACTATACTCTGTAAACATCTAGTGAGTATTGCATGTAAAGTAAGGATAATATTCCTTGTCTTTTTCTTGGTATCTTTCTCTTTTACCTATTCAAATATTTTTTAGTTTAATTTGGAAGTATGAATTTTCTGTAGGCGTTATAAAGTGAAACATTTTCGTAATTAGTTCATATCCACGGATAAATGATTAAAAAATATTTCATTCCTAACTTCAATCGAAAAAATACGTTGTTAAATTCCTAGTTACGCAATACACTTTTGTACGTTTAATGATAACAAATTTTTGTCAAGTCATAGACACATTCATGATATTTAAAAATCGTAGATTTTGTAATTAAATACCAACAAATGTACCTTTTAGGAACGCGATGAAGGCTTCAAAAGCAGCTTGTATCGGTCGCTCGCGTTATCTGTAACAGAAAACACAAATAACTCTTTAAAAGATAAATCGACAAAATTTTCAAGCTGTTCTTTTCAGTGATCATGATTTCAATGAAGTGACCTACCTTTAATAGTTTCAACGAAGTACATGCTCTCGTCTTTCATATTTGCTACCAATTCGTCAGTAACCAAAACATGAATACCCTGGGGTCCAAGGTAGAGCACAGAATGTAACCGATCGTGTGGCAAATTCAGAGTATTCAGTAGCTTGCTCATTAGGGCACTACTGGTTAGACTATCCAAGTAAGCGACCCTCCAGAGAGAACCATTGTCTTCCAACGAGAAATAAAGGGTGAGTTTTGGAGTCGGTGCCTTCGAGTGTAAAGCGTTGAACAATCGAATCCCGTCGGCCAAACCACAAATTTGGATCAAGTCATCCCTGGAGAGTCGTAATATGTCCGATGCAGAGAAACTGGCGAATGTAGACTCGAATGTGTTGAATCGACTAGCACGGAGCCACGCGGTTGTCTGAGCCGCATTTGCATCAGGTGACAATTGGGCCAAACATGACGATCCCTACATAAACGGACAACCTGTATTTGTACGAGTTCAATTCTGACATCACAATTAAGCCGGCTTTTATTATTTTTAATCCTTTGGAAACGTAGATTTATTGAAAAATGTATTTATTTAGTTCCGCAAAGGAAACATGCTCTCTGTGATATAAAGGACATTTTTGAAAACTAACTTCAGTATCGATGCAGGATTGATCGGGCAAAATTGCCGCAGGTGATGGCAGGGCGGGTGCCGTTCCCACGTTTTCCTTCACAACATCGGAGGCGGGAACTAGTGGTACGATGCTGGTATTGGAAACCGAAAGTGCCAAAGGAGCTACTACCGGCGAAGTATTACCGCTAACGGACGAGCGAGATTGTGGTGATCTACAACAATAGGAATGTTTCTGTTAATTCACCTAAATAATGTTTCCCATTACTTGCTTTTATTGCGTGCAAAAAGATACGCGATTTAAAGGACCAAGTAGTTTTGTATTTATCAACGCAACGCATCGTAAAATAAACGCTTTGGTAGATTGCTGTCAGTGCAGAATGCGAATTAACGATATTAAGCACAATAAAAGCAAACACGGTAATAATTGACACTACAATCTATCGTTGGTGTACGAATATTAAGTCATCAAACACCATTACTTCAAAGTACGTTTGCTATTATTCATAATGAGTGGTTCGTTTTTGAAACGTGGCAAATAATAAATAATGTTATTTAACTCTTTGACCTTAAAGTCGTTTAATTTATCACGAAGTTACGTAAGCACGCGAGAACGAGATGTATAAAACACGCAAACCAGCGGAATTTCTTCATTTATCCTTCTGGACATGAAAACTCTACGATTGCGACTTTCGATTAACATCTTACATGGTTCGCCTCTTCAAGCAAAATATCAGCTTGGAGATGCCTTTCCTATCGATTCTCTTGTTGTTTCTGCCTTTCCTTATTGTGAGACTGACTAAACCGCCGCGCATAAGATTGCCTCCCCTTGCTCTGGATTCCGAAATAGAATGAATAAACTTAGCCACTACTTCGACTTGCAGGGGCCCTCCACTGACCGTTACTTCATGTTCCAGAAGATAAGCCAAGTCATTTCCGCGATATTCGGCCGCCGATCTAATGGCCCAGGAGCTCTTCAACTTCCAGACGGGACAACTCTTTGTCATTTCGAGAGTAATGTTTTCAAAATTAAGATATTTTCAACTATTTATCCTTTCATGAAGATTTATAATCACTACGGTAACTTTCTTTCGACTTTTCATCCGCTCTTTCATGAATGTGTGCAATTGGAATACACAAATCCTTGATCGATATTTACTTTTCGCTAATTTGTGAGTATTTCCATGGTAATCGATCTCCACCTTCCAATTCAACTTCGATAAACGTTCGTTCATTAGCGACTACATTTTTACTGTCATTGTTTTTGTCCTTTTGATATTGATCTTTCAAAGAAAGTTTACAGTTGCATTAGGAAGCGCAGAGCAGTTTTTACTTTTGTTTGCAACTGAGATTCAATTGATCGTTCGAAAGATGCAATGTAAGAAGGTTGATGGTCGGATACGATCGGTCTGAATCTGATCGTTATTGAGTACGCGAGTCTGCTGCGAACCGGATAGCTCTAGTCTCGCTTGCAACTGTCACGCTAAATATGAAAAATTCGATCTACCGGATAACAACAGCGACGCTTGTAGTTTTCTTTGAAAAGCTCCTTTTTTATTTGCTAAAATCTCTCTATTTCTCCTCCATTCATGGGTGAGTCGACAACTATCAGCAACACAGATAGCCACTTACATCCATATTATAATCAAAATGGGTCTTTAATTGCGTGACTAACACTTTTCCAGAGTCGTCGTTTACCGTATATTTGGTAAAACATTCGAGCGCGTCCTTATAGGTCTGTTTTATGCGTCTCACGTTTTTTCTGCTTCCTCGTCCTTACTATTCATGAGAAACCGACAACGCAGTTGCTATGTCTACAGATCGAGTCGCTCTCGGGCAAATCTATTTACTTTCCCCAAGCAAAAAGAAATTTGTAAACGGACGAGGTGAACCAAGTTCGTTGTTTCTTAGATTTTGAATAATCTTCTACTATTAGCGATTGTAGAAGAGTAACATCAGGTCCGGTATCGAAACTCGTCTGATCCTTGGGAAGACGGAGGATCGGGCGTTCCGTTCACGTATTTTCAAAGAAAGTTTCACGTGGAAATGTGTGTCTCAGTTCAAGGCTGAATAAAACCGCCCTGGCATCAGCTTTTCGGCGGCAAGGCTGCTCGTCATCTCAGGTAGTGATCTTGGCGTGACAAGAACACCTGGCTAGCCAGGATTTCACGCACAAGCACACTCTGATCGTCGACGCGTAACGACTCGAGATCAAGGATACTCGATACGCGAGACGATTCCGGATAATCAGCTGGAATTCGAGATTCTACACCGGACGCGGGCATTCCAACGGCGTACAACGGCTTCGCTCTCGATTCGATGTTCGATCGATAAACTTTCGCCAGTCTCGCGTTTTGTTTGTTCGTCGTTGCGCTATGATTACGCAGAAAGGTGGACGGGATCAAAATGCATGCGGCAACCAGATTTCGCTGCAGACAAAAATTATTGTTGTCGCGACACCTCAAACATCACAGGTCCGGTTTAACGTTGCTTTGTTTATCGTTCAATTACGTGCCGATGTATAGTACTCGTGGGCAGATAATACTTTATACAACGAAGCGAAGAGTGCTGTCTATGTAAGAATTCGCAAAGCGATTTATTTTTAAATTCACGGTCGACGCAGCAATCTGTATATTGAGGCTTTACTTGTCGAAGGACGTAGATCGTGGGCCGGAACCGAGTAGAACTAATGGCCTTCGTAAATTATATTACAAGGTAGAATTCGTTGCACTCATTCCCGTGCATCGTGCACGAGCCTCGGAATGAGGAATACTGTTACGACACTGACCAATCCACGCGAGCTTTAATTCTCTATGAATGTAACGTATATGTTGAACGTGTTTCCGTCGTTCAGTGATCCCCCCTTGGGTTCCAGGCACAGAACGTTGATCGCGCTCACTCTTCTGATCAGATCAGCAAAAATAGCTCGAGGTCGCGAAAACGAGCGATAACGAGAACGTATCGATTGTTCGCGTGAATATCGCGTGTAGCGACCGCCTCGCGGTGGTATCAGTCAGCAGTAATCCGGCCGATCGAGCAAATATTGCGCGCAAAGACAGTCACCGATCACCGTTTTATTTATAAACATGCGGTTCTTCAGCGGTAGATCATGTCTGCGACTCTCACTGAATACAGTTTTCGTCGACCACCATCAACGTGACTCGTTCTCTGACGGTAATCACGGCACACGTCGCAACGAGGTGGGAGCAGAACGATGGAAGATCCAAATAGGGAGGAACAGACAGCTTCCGAATAACCAAGTATATTCGCGAAAAGACGAACGACTCCGACGAAAGTAGATGATGGGATGAAACGGAGTAACGAAGCGGCTGCGCGGCGACGCGTGTATCGTCCGGCGTTCTGAATTTATTTGTCGTCGTGGTTGTCTCTCTCTTTCGCTCGAAGCATCGTTGTCGGCTCTACTAAACTGCCGGCTTGTGCCAGTTTGAGCCAGTTTCACAAGCCGGCACCTCCTTTTCCACCACTATAGTACCAAGTCTCGTATACATGTACGTATTCTCCATTGCCATTACCATCACCGTGCATCCCGCCACCACTTCGGCCAACTACTTGTGCCTCCTCCACTTTCGATTCATTCGCGATCCCCCACTACTGTCTCAAAGAGAAACGGCAACGCCGTGCTGCATTTCTGCATTTCCACCAACGTAGGACATAGCGGACGCAGCAGCTGCCGTATCATGTACGTGCCCTTCGTCACGACAGTATATATCTTGCAACTTTTCCAATGTGCTATGCCACACTACGCGTAAATTTGTCGCCTGTTTTAATACTCCTGAATTGAACACCGTAAGCTGCCTTCACTAGTGAGGCTTGTTTGTTTGCGTGTCGTTCACACTTTCACACTATTTGTTGTGTTATGCATTACGACGAGAATTAATAGTTTCATGTTGAAGGAAAAATGATAATTTTCATAGGGATTTTCCGGAACACGTCGACTTTTAAACGTTGTTTTTTTACGCGCCGAATTAAAAGAAGGAAATTATAGAACAAGAAGACGTGACTGATAACAGATAACAAAAATGTTGTAATATTTTATCACCGGAAGTTATTAAGAAAATATTCACGATTCCAAACGTTTACTTTACGTAAAAAATGCGTTTGTTCTTGTTTTACACGGTCAATATAAATCACTGTTTATTTAGACAAAATGTCAGAAACTCATCGTATCCGGAACGGACCAGTCTCTGAAGAAACCTGTTAAATCATCTGACGATTCGTTGACTAATATACTTTATGGCAGCAAAAAATAAACTTCCACGGACTATTTACGATTAAAATAACGAGCTAATGAAAAAATAATCGTGTAATAAATTTAACGTTTCGCAACTGAAAATAAGTCTAATGTCTGATATCTAATGAAAACAAAATTCTAACTAGCGATTTGAAACAACCATTTGGCATGGAAAAATTGGTATCGTCAATAAAGACAATGTTGATACAGCGATAATAGGTATACTAAAAAAATGTTAAGATATCAAACATCGCACAGACGCTTATTGATCGATATATCAGTAGTAGAATTTGTATTACTAGCGTCGCAGAAATACGATGGTTGCACAAATGCGTCGGAAATAAAATAAAGCGATAATTGTAATAGTGTTTGTACTTACATTGCTTCTGTTGAAGCGTAGGGGCTCCCACCATTTTGCGTAATCAAGTTGGGTAGCAATAGGGAGTCCAGGGGAATCTGTAATCAAATAAATAATCCACGATGGTTAGCTCTCAGCGGGAAAAAAACAACAAATGATTACTTACGTCGGAGAGAACAGTGCAATCGTAGCTTGGCTGATATTTATCCTGTTCGTGCGGTGGTCGCCGTAGTATTTTGTCCCGATCTTGTTTGTGCTTACGATCGGCTCCCTTTAATTTGAAGACCTTTACCTGGCAAGAAGCGGCATGCAGGCGCGGACCTCCAGGAAGTCGCGTTTCCACTTGAATTCGAAATGGCACACCTTTCTCTCCGCCGTGTTTTTTTGGTGTAAATTCAGTGCTGATGCAGTTCACCTAGTTGTAAAATGAAACGTTAAACATGGCGTAACGGTCGATTTTCCCACTATGGTTCCTTGATTTTTCTTTGATATGAAATAGGGAGAGGAATAAAGGCAAAGATTGATTTGCTGTATCTATTTATTCTTTTCTATGTGTACCTTTATATATACGCCGACTTCCTTGGTGGGATCCCACATGAATTCTACACTATTGTTGGATAGGGATGGTTGACAAACGTCCACCATCCCGTAACTGAGAGGAACATCAACTTCGAGCAATCTTTCACCGGGTCTTGTACGTTGCCATGCAAGCATCTGTTCCCGTTCAGTGTATTGAAGTCTCCTTTCGTGGAAGCAAATGCGAATAGTTGACTGAAACAGAAACGTTGGATGACCCTTCAGAGGCGTTGTAGCAATGTTTGGGTGACTCACATCTTTCGAACGTCGAGGACCTATGAGCTCACGCCGAAGTTTAACTGCTACGAATGAAGACGGAGGGAGAACATTTGGGATTTATCAATGACGTACCCAGGAAATATTAATGATTACTGTATGAGATTAAAAGTATGATCTGGTAGCGATCAGTTTCGCGTCTGTTTCCTACTGTTATTTTTACCTACAAAAATGATTAATTCTTGCTACCATCATACTGTAACCAGCATGAGCTCGCTTGATTCCGCTTTAAGAAACTGTTACGTTTTTTTAAGATGTCGCTACCCAAACAGATAATTTCCTGACGTATTCGAGATGTTCAAATAATGGGTGACGAAGTACCTTCAAAATTTTCCCGCGATAAGCAGACAGATCGCCCAGTTTCTTCAGTTTGATCTCGTACGATTGACCCTGATTGAGGTAGGTAAGTGTCTCTTCGTTGACCTTCGTTGCGATGCTCGTGGCAGCGGCAAGCACGTATTGGAAACTGTGGAAAATAATTGCCGACCTGTTAGCTCTGGCGTGAATACTAAACTGTTTCTCTGGCGCAATGCCATTGATCAAGTATCAACATCAACGACGTACCGGCAGTCCTCGTTGAGCTCGTTTCCTTGTTGAGAGGAGGAAACGTGGTTTCCCGTGGATGACGTCGGAGGATACTCCTCGTTCGAGGAGTAAAGCAGCTGATGAAGACTAGTTGTTGTCTGCCCATTATTGTTACTGTCAGCCTCAACAGCGGCGTTCGCGTTATTTGTTAATGCCGAATTAATTGTTCTCTGTGACACGTGGTTCAAACTAAAGCAGACATTGAACGAAAGAGAATATTAATCCTACGTGTATTATTACATCTCGTTTACATCGGTTTACTTTTATCTAATATGTGCTGACAAACTTGAGCATCTGCGATCACGAGATAATTTTCATACAAGTTGCACTCACTATAAATTAAAGAACACCGAAGGCGAGAGCATTAAATCCGAGGGTGTTTTCATCCTTGTTGAAATTATTTTGAAGAGGAAACCAATCTTATTACATACGAAATGAGATTACACTTAATTTGTGGTTGTCGAGAAATATTTTCATCAATTCAACGAAATGTACTCGCGTGGGTTGCGCGTAACGTAGTGCCTAATTGTTACCAATTTGTACTGAGATAATTATCCATTACACGGGTAGTTTTCGAAATAACATGTTCTTAAGATTTCAATTTTCTCTTCTACGTTACGAATGCCAAGTGGATACACTCGAACATTGCATTGGTAGACTCCTCTCGAAAAATTCGCGCACTTGAATCACCACGCGAGTGAGCAACCGCGTTACGCAGAATAGTTGAATAACGCAAGAACGATTCTCAGTAACGACCCAAGACCCGGTTAAAGTAAATATAGCTCCAATTGTCCAAACATTTAAGAATAGTTTGCGTTCGCTGGCTATCACTCACAGAAGATTCACATTTCTTTCGCGGCGAGTGAACAATTTAAAAGTGTGTTACTATTCATAGTTTTCCGGGCGAAAGTGCGCCTTGACGCAACAGATTGTTGATGTTTCGCAAACGTTGCAACTTACGATCTAAAAGAGTTCACTTCGACGAACGATCTCACGCTTTTTCGAGGTACGTGTATCTCGTGCAGAGTTACCACCGCGTAGATAAGCACAAAAACGAACCTCGTCAGAACGCGCGAGGAAGCATGAACGACGTCACGTTTCGTAGCTAGGGAATCACGTTTTTCGCACGGCTGATCACTCGAACGAGCAACTGGCATTTAACATTGACAAGAGTAACGCCGCAAGATAACTGGCGTGGAACCTCGTAAGAGTAAAGGTCTGACCTGCGTGCCATTTGCCCGATAGTTGTGCGAAGAAACTCAGTGATAGAACGCTTATCAGGCCCGAGTCTCTGCGGGGGAGTTTCGCGGCAAATTCCGTTCCCAGTATTATTGTCCTTGTTTCACACGTTCACCACAGATTAAGGTCTGTACACCGCGATCAATCGCGACCGATTCGTCTCACAGTTCCATCGATCGGTGTATGACGAGACTTGGCTGGTCGGATCGCGTCTTGTAGGTAGAAAAATAAGTGGAATAGGGGAGAAATATTTACCACGACCAACAAAGGATGCGATTACGAAACAAATTGCGAATGTACGGGAGAAGTCAAGGTAAAACTTGGAATACAGTGCGCGGGACAAGAACGTGTAGCGGTTCTTACATCGGAGAAACTTACTTGGAATTTTGCTGGTTTTCCGGCGATGGTGCTTCTTGCTTGAACACCGTCAACGATGGCAATGCGAGCAGGGCTTCGCTGTAAATAAATTTCGATTGATTTATACCGGCATGTCCGTTTCCTGCCATTTTTCGTGTACTTAATCTTCGTACCAGGAAAATGGGAGTGAAACTTGACCTCTGTAGATAGATAAGACTCGGAAGAATTACTTGATGCGTTTTCTAATCGGCTACACTTGTAGTATATAGTCATATTTATTATTTACGATGTATACTTGCGCTTGTGAAATGCCATTCAAATCGATTTAGGTCTACGATCAGAGGATGTGTCCGATAATAACCAATAGATTCCGGTTTTCGTTATCGGTACTTATTGATTAAAGTCTTGTGACGCAAGCGACAAGAAATCGATCGAAGAATAATCTATTCAAAGTTCGTTGATGTGTTTTTGCCTCTTTTTGCTATTGACGAATCAATCACAAACTAGTAATCGATTTTTTGTAAAAAACTGTATAAAGAAATTGATAAGCGAATAAATAGTATTGCATCAACTTTAACAGGATATTGAAAACATAATCGAACTTCAACTCCCACACTGTAAAAATAGCACGAAAACACTTGACTGTATGTATATGAGTGTTTGTATCGATGTTAATTCACTTGAGATAAGAGATTCAAGAAAGAAAATCTAGCTCGAACCGGAAAGATGTTTGCATAAACTACATTTTACGAGATCTACAGAGAAAAAAGTGATTTTCGACATGTCTGTGCTGCGTTGTACCCGACCTTTCAGTTATGCGATCGTCATAATTGCTGAGACAGCAACATTATAGAAACGATCATAGTAGTGATAAGTTAATTGGCACTTGAATACACCTTAATTATCGGAACGGAACAAAAGATGAAAGGACACTTTGAGAACCGCTATGATAAGAATTGAGTCACTAAGGTCAACCAAAACCGGAACGTACCGGTTTACACAGTGTAGCGAAATTAATATCAGCTACAGGCAAAGTATCGCGATTAAATATTTTCAAAAAATATAATGCAAATGATTGTAATCAATTTAATCTGTTGTCGATATGTTGATAATTTAATTTCGTATTACAATTTCAAAGCAAACCCACCTAATAAAACGACTGTCAAAACGTAAGATTAATATGTAATCTGTTTTTAAACTCACCTACTTTTCAAATACTGATGCATGATTCCGATACTCAAGTTCAATTTTTCTTCCTCGCAAACATATGTATAATAATTCCACAAACACTAGTCAACACATTTAGCTAAATGCATCAGTGAAATAACTTTACAGTGTATTTCCTAGCACCGGTTTTTTTAAATTTCACGAATTATCTTCGCGTTACGTGATCGAGAAAGTTTAGGCATATTCTAAACAGAAAGCACGCATAGAAAACGTAAAGTGATTCACCAGTAGTAATGTCGAATTGCCAAGAATATCTGATTCCGCACTTGCAAACTGCCATAAGGACTAATTTTGCTCACGTTTCTGTCATAAAGCATCTGTTTTTTGCAGTTCTTCATTCAGGAATTGTCACGAAACTGTCAGTGTATTTTACATAAGTATACCGCGTATTATATGTGACGGAATTCGATTTGCTGCTTTCCGACAGTGTTAGCCTCTTGTGTTTGCATTTTTAGACAATGATATATGCTTTTTAATATTTAAAATTCTCAAATGACTTTTACATTACTTTCTATGTTCCTTACAACTTTTGGTAAAAATTTAAAAGCGCTTGAAGTATACTTGTTTGAATATCTATTTGGCATAATTATCCGATAGGAATGATAACTTTTAAACACTTGAACTTGAGAATAATTAGAGTGATTGAAACATAATTTTAAGAGGTACAACGAACAATTGCTTGGAACATGTAAAAAGTTCAGCTTCGTATTGAGAAGAATTTCTTTGGAAACAAGGTCGTAGATGTTCTTCGGAAAGAGTAAGTACCAAGTAGATAGAAAGCTTGATGAACAAATGATTTGTTCAGATTTCGAGACAGATTTTGAATCAGATTTCACTTAGCATAACGCGAAGGTTCGCAAATTCTAAGCGGATGTAGGCGATGCTGAGAAAAATAGTACAATTGCTAACAGGACGGAAACGCACGTGCCTTTACGCGCGGACACTCGCTAAGCGTCTAAGCGTCTGTACCCGGCGTGATTTCCAAGCCGAAGCGTAGCCCGTTCAAGCTTCGAAACGCCGACAACTGTGTCTGGTTCTAACCGGATTTCTGACTCGACGTTCTCGTTCCCACCATCTACGTTTTAATCGAGATTCGATCCATTCCCGCGAATAAGAGCTCTAGTGAAACCTACGTTATCGGCTCGAGTTCACGCTTCAAGCGCGAACAAATTCTTTGCGATCGACCATCGGTCGGAATTCAAAATTTTTACTGGTATTTTACTTTAATTTTAAACTGCACACGTGATTTTTGTTGCGAAGAAAACTATTTCACTACTTCTTTGAAGTTTTCATTCTCCTCTTTTCAGCCTAAGGTTATTCACTAAGAACATATCTGTTACAGAAGAGAGATTTGTTTACCTCATGTTATAGGAGGCGACGGCTGTTGCAAGATCAGATGCTGCGAGCGCTGATAGAGATCCATCGAAATCAGCGGCAAGATGTTCAGCCAGTTCCTCCACTTGTGGTGACCATCCTTGTCCAGAACCATTGGTCCCAATCGATCCTGTGAACATCAAAAAATTTAGTTATATACATTTTCTTTTGATTATGTTCCATCGTTAAAAACAAGCCGTCGTTTATTGTAAGAGTTGAAAAATAACAAGAATTCTCAGAAAATTTAGTTAAATTTCTAAATTTGGCTAATTCTACCCCGTACAACCTTGTACGTTAGCATAATTGTTGTAAAACTGATGGTGCATGGCGCCAATCCTAGACTTGGTGTCTTGGAGAGCTATGGCTGTGTTTCGTCGTCGATTCTTCAAAGTTATAGGAGAATAACGTCGATTATGTAGCAATGGCAGCCTTGCGCTCTCTATCTCACACCACTTCATTCTATTTTTCTCGATAAGGGTTAAATAAACAAGTACACCTGGAGGAACACCACCGAAATGAAAGTGACCGCGAGCACCACCACGAAGTTTGTTGCAGACGAAGAACTAGTATCGGTTTTTCCTCTCTCTTTCCCCGGATACCGAGAGAATGCATACACGAAAGTTATCAGTTTCTTTAACCACGTGGTTCAAAAGGCGTCGAACAATTGCAGTACGCAACTTTTGGTAGTCTTTAGTCTCGAGACGTTCTTCGTAGCAGCATCTGCTTCTACTGATATACGCCTACAAAGTTCGGCCTTTGGCAAAGGGTACAAACAGCCCTCTTTAACATGAGTGGACCTTTCGATTTCACATTAATCTTGGGAATATTTCTTAATATCCGGTGATTTAGTGGCTTTCGGTAATAAAATTGGACAGCTGTCATGGATTAATTGATGTACCTTGCAATTTGTGTATTGTAAAGTAAATTTTGGTGGATTAGATACTATCAGTGTTTTGTCAAGTATACAAGAATTATGTTTGTGTCAATTTCAAGCAACAGATATTAAAACTTGCACGATGTGATCGACTTCGGACTTGCCTATGCCTACGACTGTGTATTTGAGGTCGTCCGTACGCGACCTTTCGAATGTATCTATATCGAGAATTGTGTTGATAGCGATGATGTGCTTAAAGACGTTAATATTCGTTACAATCGTTCATGTTCGCAAGACGAGAGAATGAAAAAGTTAATTTTATTTATATCTTTTACACTTACGGTATCGAAAATGAATACACAACTGGATTTGTGGAATACAATTAAATTTCGACCCTTCGCATTTTAGCATTAACCAACATTAATTACATAATTTCAATGGAGCCTAAAATGATACTAACCATCTCTCCTAGCATGTTTCTTCTCGAGTTCCGTAATTTGTAACGGCTCTCCAGCGCGACGTTTTAGATTGCCCTGTTGACAGTTGGCGGTATTGTCGGATGATGGGCTGAGATGTTGAGGCGATTCGCTGCTCGAACGTAACTGAGCACCGTCGTCGGGAGAATCCTTTGGGGAGCTGTATTTGTCCTGCCATAAACAATTTTGTGGACTGTGATATCCCATTGTCGCCTATAAAATGTTTGATCATCGTCAGTTCACGGAATGAATCGCGTAGAGCTTCACGGATTCCACGGGATGCAGCCCGATCGCGGAAAAAAATCTTCAACGGCTAACTACAATGTATCTACTACGACGTAACAAAAAACGAAGAAGGAGACAAGTAATTAATATCGTTAGTGTGATACTACGAATGCGGTGGAATATTAATTGTTCAGATTAAGAATTTTTCTTACTTGGTCGCGAAGCTAATGAAAATGAGTGCCGTGAAGCATCGCGTTCAGCGCGTACCAACGAGATGACACTGTTTTATCTGTAGGAGAATCAACTTACGTGTTGTGTTGCGATGGGATCACATCTGTTTTGACGAACCGGGGATAGCTCTTCATATGGTGGAGACGGTGTATTCGGAAACCATATCGTCCCGTTCAGAGCTTCTGCACCGCCATCCATGATGAATTCGAGTTCCATTCAACAACTTTAAATCTCGAAGCACTCGTACTTGCGATTTGTTTCTCGAAATACACTACTTTTTGGGATATCGATTGTTTTGATGCTAATCACAATACTATTTTCGCTTTTACTGTTCGAGTGCTCTTGGATTTTTTGGAGAACGCTTTGGTGGCTTGTTTGCAAGAGAAAGTATATAAGTCCAGGCTTAGAAGATCGACGATCCCCACGATGGAATTTTAGGATCAACACGAACTTGGGGACTTGGCTTTTTCACTTTTCTCTAAACGCTAATATTTTGTGCCTGATTAATCCCACTACTTTTCTCCTTGCTTACTTTTTTATTGCTCTCAATTTTCTCTTACTTCACACGATCTCTCTAATTCTCGTTCGTTTAACCAAAACGTTCTCCTTTTTCGTGCGTCCTCCGCGTAGCTTTCTTCAGGATCGTCAAAGATCCCGGAAGTGCGCGGTGCATCACTCGACCACCGTTAATTTAGGGCCGACTTGCTTGAAGGGAGAGCAATCCTTAGAACATGACGAAAAAGCTGTTGTACAGTTTCTTGATGCCAGTTGTTTCACGTTGCCGATGCGTTTCCAAGAGTGCGCAACCGCGCGACTTGAGGGACAAAAAACGCGAAAAGACGACGAATGCGTCCTCGAATACCATCGCCACACCTTGGCTGCAACGCATTTTGTCAGTGGTTTCCTCGAAGATCTTGAAGCCTCGCGAAAGGGCAGCGGTCTGTGGTTCAATCCTCTCTTTTATCGAATGTATGTACCCTCGATTCTTCAAATAGCAAGTCCCACGAAAATTGTAGCTATGAGTTCAACGGTCACTTCTCACTTCTTTAGCTCGTTCGAACAGGACTTGGAGTCGGATGTAGTTTGGAAAGAACTTGGTTTCGTTGAAAAGATCTCTGACAAAGATTCGTTTCGTTATTATTACGTTAAATGGGACTGTTGGTCTCAGCTAGTGTCACTGGACACGGAAGATACGTCTTGAGTTGCTTTCTAACGACTATGGCTCACACCACTTGATAGTGTCTTGGTAATCGAAGGCCTTCGCCTATCACGTCGTCACCACATTTTCAGAATCCTTCGTTCCATGGTGCCGTTCGAAAGATAAACTTGATTCAGGAGGAAAAGACGAGGCTTCGTGGAGTAAAACCAAATGGGAAATGTGTTGTTCCTCGATATTCACCAAAGTCTCCTCCACGTGAGAAAAGACGAGTCTCTCGAAGAGGTCACCCAGAAATAATGTTTCTTGACCAGATGCTAAGACCAGGAACCTTCCGTTTGATTTTTGCCTACTGCTTCCTTCCACTTGCGATCCTTTTTTATTTGTTATGCATTAGCCGCAAATAGAACGATTAAGATCTTTCAAAAAGCAACAGCCAATAAATTTGAGCCATTCACGAGCTAATTTCGATTTTTGATATTATGAAGAATTTCTGTTTCCAGCGTTGAACTTAGGGAATGCGCAGTTATATCTGATAACAATGACTTGCTCTTGCTTCGTAGAACACTGACGTTGGAAAATTGTCGATTCACAAACGAAGAAAGTATTCCTTTATTTGCGAATTGTCAAGTATGCGACGAATCCTCTGTTGATAATGGTGAATCTTGATTCAGAACCAACTGCGGAAGGAACCAAACACTTGAGCTTCCTGATACAGTTGCTTCCCTCGTATTGTTCTAGTTAATTATCGTTGCGCGCTCAGTTCTACCGCTGACCGACTTAAACCGACTGAGACGAACCGGACAGGCGGATGTCTTTTGGATCTCAGTCAGACCCTTGTGAACAACGGCGGACAGTAAATTGTGCGACACTGACGACGTCAAAAGTTTTGAACCGAATGCTCCAGCAATGTCTTGTGTCTAAGAACGATCTGGGTATCTGATCCAATCGCGACCGCCGGTATTAAAAGGCTGACCAATAGTGTCTACGCTGGAGGGTCGACCCGACCGTCAATTGGAACCACTCAGTGCTGATGAGCAAAATGTGACTCGGCTTACCTCGTAAAATCGTTCCGTATTTGGTCGCCTACTGAATTCGAATTTCGATTAATACCGGATTCGTAGTCTTTTCCCAACAAAAACTGACCAAACGTGATCAAACTTGTACGGGATCGTGTAAGTCTACACTCTATTTTTACGGCCACGCTCGAATCTTTGCTATCTGCGAGGATGATGGCGACGTTTACCTCGACTTAACGAGCTGTCGCGTCGTAAAAGACGCCTGTTTGCCACGTGGATTAATTATTTTGCAAAAAGGTTATCTCTGCCTTCTCGGCTTATATTTTCGTTCCAAAGCTTCCAATGAAAATCATCGAACCCCTTCCTCAGGTCAATCGCAGAACGAACAAGTGGTAAATGTGGAAAAGCGGTGCGTTTCCGGATGACGTTATTAGAGCCACGTGCCAGTTGGTTCAACGATGAACGTGGAGTAATTCTTGGTCGTTATAAGAGCTTCTTCAGAATTATACAAAAATGTATTTGAATAGAAATAGTATCGAGATTGCGAAAGAAACGACGATTTACGATATTCGTTCTTTTTGTCAAGTGAACTGCTAGAGTGTTCTCAGGCAGCAAGCTTTAAATTTCGAGGTGGTTGATCATAACGTTGTTTAGTCCCAGAGAATCGACGAGTTAAACTAATATCGGAGATGCAGAACCTGGAACAATAAAAACCATGTACGTCCACGGAAAGAGAACACCGAGGTGATTGGAGAGCTCCTTGTTAACGACAATGAATAGACATAGATTTCATCTTGTATTTATTCTGATCGTTTAAATAATTCACTTGTACAAAATCGTGTCTCGTAACATGTTATCGACATTGATTCACACGAAACTTTGTCTATCGGCAATTGTCGGCGGTTCAACACACCGAAGCTGTGCTGAAGCGACACACATCCTGCCGCTCGCCGACTGGCAAACGAATCGTTGTGCTTCCTAATTCTCAGTACCATCGTGTTCTCGTCTATGCGTCTTGCCCGCGTCGTACATCCGTTCAGCAAAGCTGGCCAGCTCAACGGGGTTAGACGTCTGAAGTTTCGCTGATTGAAGTTAATCCGCGAGGTCATTGTTATATGCGCTACTCGCTTCCACACAAATTGAACCGTGCATGTCTTGTACAGGAAAGCTCCGCAGAACTCTACAAGCGTCGTCGTCATCGTACGAACTGCGCACGACCGCGACCGCGGAAAAGAACTCCGTAGGAAGCTTTCGACGATGCTGGTTTCTGGCGGTCCTCGGAAATCAACGACCACTGACGAATTACTTCGCGACCTTGTCCCTCGCTACAGTGAAGCGAATGAGACTTTATTCTCCCGGCGAGCTAGGTTATTCATCCGTTGGACAACTATTCGTTCTAGAACTATGACACTTGCAGAACGTACTGATCGACTCGCGTAATGGAATTATTTTCAATGTCGTCAATTCAAACTAAGACCTTCCTGTTTGATTTGTGCAATCGATAAAGTGAATTTGCCTCTCAATAATTTGTTTTACAGTCCGGGTGGTTAAACCGTTCCTCAGACCAGCGAGTATAGTTTTTAGCAGTGATGTAACGGCTTAAAACGACTGCCTTAATTAATGAACTGTCAGTTATCTCTAAGCGATGTTCGCCTCTTGGGGACAGACACATGAACAATTACTAACAGTTGAACAAATTAGATTCGCGTTTTTTATATTGTTAGGGCATGTTGCGACATCTAATTAGGTTTAATTAGAACGATACAGGCGCGAAATTGTTAAGGAAAATGATTTTTACTATCAGCCGGTTGGGAACGCGTCATTGTATAATAGATGCGAGTGTTAACTCCTCGCGTGAACGAAGAACCAGCAGCAGCGTACACGGCACGGGTACGGATCTCTATTCCTGCAAATTATACTAAGACACCAAGGTCGTACCTATATCTGCCTAGTAATGGATGAATGCACGTTCGAACCACGTGTAACGTCTTCTACGTCGTCAGCTTTTGATTGAAATCATAAACCGGTTGTTACATTGATGTTATAGCATCGCGACTCGGCTAAACTTACTTCGAGACAATGCCAGGGACAAATCTTTCGTGGGTGTCATTACCAAGGGTCAAAGGAATCATGCATGTTGAAGTGCATGGACAGAAATACAAACGTCTCTGTGTTTCGGTAACGTTTATCTGTGAAAAGTACAAACGATCTGTAACAAGACAAGATTTTTTCCCTTCCATTTCTACGATGGTCATAATATTCCGTGAATCGTTTAGACGAAAATTAATTGCAACGAACACGAAGAATGAGTCAATCCATATTTCTGTGCTCGATTTCCTGTAATACATGTCGACATTCTTGCTCCAGGATACCGCCCCACACTTGGTACCGATGATTCAATCTCGGCGTAGCGTGCAAGACTGTCTTTGAGCCCAAAACGCCTGCACTCTGATTAGGTACACCGTAAAATATCCTCGAAACTCTAGAATGCAGTAGCGCCATAGCGCAAAGAGGACAAGGTTCTTTGAAAAGGAACGTCCAGTATCCCGTACATAAGTAAGGACCACATTTTTCAGTATTCGTTGCTTCAGTCTGATCAGATCTGTCTGAAACTACTGTCTTCGTGGAATCATTATTCTTCCGCCCTCGCCGATGTATGATGGATTTCAAAGATTCTAACTGTGGAAGAGTAATTTTGGACAGCGATTTCGGGTAATAAAGCGGAGCCTCTTCAATATATTTCCTTTTGATTCCTCTTTCTTTGGTTACATCATCTTTCGCTTCATCTTGATCATTGGAAGTAGAAACACGTAAATCATCCGAATTTTGTCCCGACTTTTCGTCCCATTTCCAAGCTCCACCACCTTGGAGTCGAGCAACAAGATCTACAGCTAACATAGCTGCATGCCACATTGGATGTTGGTCGATTTTTGAGGCGGCAACCGCAAGAATCCTTCCATCCTCTGGATCAACGATCAATGCACTGCCGTTACAATTCGAGTCGCCGACAGCTTCCAACCTGGCTGTCTCTATCGCGACATTCATGTATCCCTCTATAAGATCCAATTGGTGTTCTGTGAAAATCGATCCATCGACCAGACATTCAATGTTAGGATCAGGGTGAAAGTTCAAGGGCCAGATCTTTGAAGCCCGTGCCGCTTGAACTTTGGTTCTTGCTGCTCTGGCTGGTACGCTCAATATTTGAAAGTCATCTTCTAATAAGCTCAAGTTGAATCCTCTTTCCTTTAATATCGTCTTCAGATTGTCTGAGGTTAAAGTACGTTCTTTGCTAGATTCTTCCACTAGGTTTGTCATATTTAAAGGCGCCAAGAGTAGTTTGTTAGATGAGCAGCGTTTCAGGTGATGGAAACCTGGCAAGATGGACGAAATGCTTTTAATAGCAGTCGAGGTGTCCTTTTTCTGCTTAAGTAGACCCACATAGACGTCTTCAAGAGGCGGATCGTCCGTGAGATCTGAGCCTAAAATCGGTCTTGCTGTCCAACACCGAGCCGTGGCTTCCAGTTTTCTCTCCTTGGGACACTTGGCCGAGGCGATTGCCATCTTCCTGAAAAGATGGTGCCTTCACTTTTCGTTGGTATACATCGTCGTTTTCGAATCTCTATCTTTGGTTTCTTTAATAATTCGTCTCTTCTATGAAACGTGATTTTCGACTATCTTATTCTAGGCTTGAATCCGTGCTGCAGATATCGGTACACGAGAGGCGGAAGAACGTTCACGGCAAACGTGATTCGTGGGAGAAACACAGTTCGTGGCGGTGCATTTGGTGCGGTTCGCAGGAGGAGCAGCGATTTTAAATTGCTGTCAAGTTGGGCCACGGTCGGATCGATTGTCAGAGTTAGGCGCAATTGTACGACGTCGATCTGCCAACGGGAGAATAAGGTCTTTTGTTGCCACGCCGTCCCGATCCTGTGCCGATCGCTTTCCAATTTAAATGCGAAACCCGTCGTGGGTTTTCTTTACAATAACGTCGCATCATTCTCGCTTTTCTCAATCTCACGATTTTCTGTGATTTTGTGATCAAAAGAAGAACAGATATCGACATGAATAATGAATTTGGCGTGCGGGTGACCCATAAGACGAATGGAGTTTACGAACTCCCGTCTTATCGGGAGGTGTTGAAAAGAAAATACAGGACTATGGGATAGACTCACTAAGACTAACAATACATTTGGAAAATATTTGTTAACGCTGCGTACCGTATCGTATTGTCAGGAGAATGAGACATCATGCAAACTGGGTCTTTTTGAGGGGAGATGAAGGGATTCTTTCAAACTATTTTATAATTTCAACATTGAGCGTAGGCATTAAAAAAAATTTTTAATGCGCAGTTTAATTTCGTATTGAATAAATGTTTGCAAATTTTAATGAGTTAGTATCGAAAACGTGATTCAAGTGGCTTGGGAAGTCGCATCTTAAAGCGTATTAACTGTCCACCAAGAGGAAAATATGCCATGGTCGGATGTTCTGTGAATGGATAAATGAGTGCACAGGACAGATTAAATTATAAAACGTTCATAGCGTAATAGCGAGCCGCGAGTACGAGGTTATTGTTAAAGATGGTCATTAGGCGAATGATAATTTTATTATGTATCACAGTGAAGAACGCGATGATCGTGTGAGTTTTATTTCAACTTGTTGAAAATATTGATATGCAAATATGTATGTGATTTATAGCTAGATGTTACGTAAAAGCATGTTTTATTTGTTTCCTCTTTCATGTTTCTTACCATCACAGAAACTTGACACGTGCGAGGAAGGGCAAAAAAAAAAATAATTTCCGAAGTATTGGAATCATTCATTCGAAATATAAAGAACGCAAAGTTTGCAGTTTTATGTTGGTTGGTGATAGAGGCGGAGGCCGAATCAAGTCAAATTTCGCGCCTCGTTACGTCAACCAAGATGGTGTGGCATATTCGTGCGAAGCATGTATCTTATATAACAGAAAAGAAACAATAAACAGATCCGAGTGACGCAGCACGCGTGAACGTAAACTCGACAGGCGAATGCACTCGGTCAACACGATCAACGCAATTAATATGCTGACGTAATAAATAAATTCTAATCGATCGAAATGTTGGCTCTCGATCGGGAGGTGGATTTTTTAATGGATCCTGTTCACGTGCCAATATGTCTTCCCTGGCCTTGAATCGAGACATGACACGCGTGTCCCGCATCTTTCACGCTTGTCAAACAAAAACAAATCGACCGGATCGGGAAAACCGTGTTTCGCCGCGGAAAAAGTACGACGATCGTGACACAGGCGTGCGTGTATTACTCTCTGCGCAACGCAGTGCAGAAAAATCGATGAAAATCCTTACCTGCTGCTGTATGAGAGCGTACTATCCGACGCCTGTTTTCTGCTCCAAATTCTTTCTCTTTTAATGATGAACAGATGGATCGGTCATCAGCCACACCTTGCACACCTTTCGATACTTTACACACGAAGCACGACACAAGAATACTAGGGAAACGCACGTGAATATATCCGCGGAGATGGACGTTTACAGGAGGTCGACTTATACCTGCTTCGCGATTACGAGTTATCGGCACTATCGGCGCGTCCTCTGCCGGTAGTCAGTGCAAGTTGGCGACTGGAGAGGAAGGGAAACACAACCGTGCTACGCTCCTTCTCGTTTCTCTATTTTTTCTTATCAATACGTTTTAATTCTGTTATTGACATGTCGAAACGACTACTCCAAATCTTCGTGAACACCGTGAAGCGATGATTCTCCTTTGATCTACGATACGTTTTATCTATTTATACGTAAGTAGTCACGCGATCTTCGACATGCTCGCGATCTCTTGTGTTTACATGTCTACATTGTTAGATCGCGATTTTCAAATTGATCGTTTGTTCTTTTTATATAAAGATGATAAAAAAAAGTAGAAAAGTGATCAATTCTTATTTTATTGTTCAGTACGAATACTCGGAGACGTTTAAACAACGATGTGAAGAGAATCATCCAACTTAGTGATGTTTGGCGCGAAAGTGGATTATGGCGTCATCACCTCGCGAGCCGTAGCAGATGAGCTTGTCTTCAGACCTTGTGAGTACTTATTTTATTCATAATTTCCAATCATCTCGTTCATAAGTTGTGTACCCTCTTTGATCGATGCTTTAACATCGCTGCGAAACTTTTATATTCCCATCAATTATTATTACGATTATTTAACTTGTGGAAGATACTTCTTTGTACGAACGGTAGATAGTAGTTTACGGTGCGGAATGATTATTTTATACATATCTTCTGATATATCATGTGAAGACGTTCGTGAGAACGAATGTCGTTTGCCTTGACCGTAGGAAAGCGACAGAAAATTGGAAAATCGGAGATACACTAATTCAATATCAAGCATTTACGTAACGATGTAATTTATACATAGTTTGAACGATACGCAAGTTTAGGAAAGTCACGAGTGCAGTCTTGTTCAAATTAATCGCGTCGGTTTATGCAACACATCTAGCCGTCGATGTCCGATTAATGATGCGATTATTCATGGAAAGTTCGCATACGTCTCCGAGTTCTCAAAGTACATTAAATACGTAATTGCTGCATCGTACAGGTATTCCATCTGTTCCTGAAATGAAAATGGACGCGAATTATACTAAGTATAAACTTGAGGCACAGTTTTCAGAAATATGCTTTGAATAATAATTCGAGCCGAATTACCAAAGAATTGACGAAATCGGGCCGCGATTTTCTGATTGTGCGAATTGCCAAACAAACGTCGCATTCACTTTCTATAGTCATTCTTTTTAGCAGGAAACTTAGAGCTAAATAAAGTCCGCAGCCGGTTACGCCGTCGCTAATTAAAAATAAACATTTTAGCGTATCTAGCGTTAACTGTTTGATGTATACGAAGATATTCTTGGAAATTTAATGTGCTCTTACTGGCAGAGAACAACGATAGGTCCCTCCTCTCTCGATATTCTCATCGCTGTTTTCCACAGCGTTACCAGCGACATGGTCTCGGGAGGATCTTGGTTTCTGCCAGCTTTCCATTTGGTAGAGCACAAAATTGTTACCTCTTGTTCCGTAACAGGCTTCTATTGTCATATAAAAAAATTAGTAACATTCCGCTTAACGTATCCGCAAACTTTATAACTCACTTCCGAATTATCGATCAGTATCAATCCTTGTGTCGTATAATGTTCAGATTCAGTAAATTCTTTTGCACGAATGTTTATGTACGGCACCGGTTTGAATTCTCCACATGGAACAATGGGACAGCATGTCTAAAAAATATTCGATTTGACAATACAGAATTCGTAAAACTACGTATTGAATATTTTTATTAAATACTGTATCTGTCAAATCTGGTGGTTGTAGTACGATGATCAGTTCCACTTTATACTCAGCGATCATTCTCCAAAAGTCGCTAAATGTCGTGGGCATCGGTAACTGCGTGGCTAGGTACTGATTCTGCAATCTTACACCGTCTACGTAAACAGCGGCTATGTAATCGCTGTCTTCGTCTGTCGGCGGATATCTCTTTAAATATAGTCTGTTGACATTCGCTGCGAAATAATTGTTGCGTTATTGCGCAGAAGCGCTATTAATATAAGAATAATTAAAAATTATCAGATCATTTTCGAACCTGAAACCAATTCTGGAAATCTGTTTTTGGCAAGGTTCCGTTCTGATAGAGTTTGCTGATTAGTCGGTGGTCGAAGAGCTTTATCTTGCCAAGTTACTTTTTCTAAACTTTTAAGAGAAATCCTCTTAATATAATTAGTTATGTATTTTCAGTTTCTCGAGAAGTTTTTATAACACTCTTTTTTATACATATACGTTTTATATACATACAAGAAAATATTAATCAATTGCTAAGAAATACCTATCTCGTTGAATTTCCAAATGTTCTTTGAGGCTTTTAATTTTTGCTGGTAGAGATTCGTTACATGGCAAAGAGGTGGGTAAAGATAGTAGACTCTCCACGAGTATTAAATGCGCTAACAAGTATTGTTGTTTGTTGTCCACCATGTTAGGCCTTTGACTTCTAATCACCTTTGCTTCCGAAAATACGTCTATTACCTAAAAGTATTTGTGAACTGTGGCATTGGATTCAAAAAACAGTGCGGGGAATCTATGAAAAATATTTCACCCCTTCTGCGGCAGCCCGTCGGAGGCAAATGTCGCATAAAATAATAGTTCCAGTTCTACCGACACCTGCGCTGCAGTGGACCACAACTGGTCCATTTCGAAGTGGTGTTGCCAAAAGCTTCTTTAAATATGTTACCACCGAATGCGTAAATAAGGGTATGCCATGATCTGGCCACGCTGTATAATGCAAGTGCTCGATCTAATTTTTAAACACCATCGGAGGGGAATTTAAGTTTGGGAATATGCAAGTACAATTTTGTTCTTTCAAGTTGAAACTTTGTGTTTTACCTTACGAGCCTCATCTCCATACGATACGTGCAACGTACGGATCGTATAATGTGCAAACACAGTGTTGTTTGCATTGAAAACAATTATATCGCCGTACTTTTTCTTTTTCCCGGTATCAGGCCAATATTGTTCACATTTTGTCTATACGATATATGAAAGATCCATTCGTTAATTAGCTGAATAAATCTTAAACGTAAAAGTTACCTTTCCCCCTTCGACTAAATTCGCAATCATACAAATCACGTAAGCCTCTTCCTGCCAGACCATTCTCCAAAAATCGATGACTGTATTAGCTTTTGGTCCTTGCGTAGCAATATAGAATTTGTCTTTTTTGTAACCCTGTAAATATGCCACGTTTTACATTTCTTAAAAATATGATCAATTATAATTTGTTACATTAAATTTTACTACCTTGATGTAATTAGCGTTAATGTAATCCGAGTACGGATCGTCTGGAAGTTTTTCCAATACTACACGATTCTCATCGTCTGTGATACATCAATACTAGAGTCATTCATTAAAAATTGATGAATTAAAAACAATAATAATAATTACATACACGCTATGAGATTTGCATATCGATTCTTTGGTTTGTTCTCTGCCAGCTTTCCGTACTCCCATGGTTTTGTTTGTCCTCTTGGAAGTGTCTTTTACGAAACAGGAACAAACAGTTCATATCGCTTATCTTATATAAATTCATGAAGTTTATCGTACTGTATAAAATTCTAAAACTGCAAAATAACTTACGCTGTATTGCTTATCCAACAATCCAGAATCAATAACTTGTCTCACATAGTCTTCGAAATCCTTCACCTTTACCAGTGACATTCGTTCTTCTCTCTGATGATTATTAATATCGTTCACATTCATCGCGTTGCCGTCGTGAGGCGTGCTTACGCGCGAAAGAAGTTCTTTATCCGACAAAGTAGAAGCGCTAGTTAAAGATCGACTCGAACAAGACGGATTCAATTTCACTTCGGAACTTTTACTATTGTATACAAAACCCGCTTCCCTTTGTAGGTCTACTTTTTTCGAGGATCTTTTTCTCCTGCGAAGATTTGAAAAATAATTATTTCGTTCAATTTTGAATCCTGTAGAAAAAATACCTTTGATAAAAATAAAAAATCGTGGCTCCGATGATAAGAATTATCGTGATCGGAATAAGCCAAGCTCCGTGTTTTTGCCTCGGCACCTCGCCGATACGAATCGATGCTGTTTTCGCAACTATACCGTTCATCGATTTTTCATCAGTTAACACAACGATCGCTATTACGTAGGATTCGGTGGGCTTCAACGGGCAATTCCTTCCACTGCCGTAAATCTTGTTGTCACCTATTACAAACGTCTTACCAGCAAGCTCATCGTTCTGCGCAGAGGTGAAAGTGTATTCAGTTTTGTTTTATGGAGCATGGATGTATATTTAATTTTGTGCAGTACGGATGAGCAAAATGAATACTTACGGGGAACGAGGCGGCGTACCACGCTTCGTCGTGATGTTCGATGCCTGTTTTTTCGCTTAGGTAGGCAGGGAGTTTCTCATCGGTGCATGCTTGTGAACCTTTTACGATCACGTGCATTGTACTTTGTTTCGTGTCATTTAAAACTTTAGGAATGTGTAACAAGATCATCGAATCTGAATCGCGTACGTCTGCTCTCAACTCATTTTCGAATTTTATAGCTAAAGACGTTTCTACTTTTGTAACTTTTGTTTCGCCGTACACTTCCGCAATCGTAACAGCTTGAATGGAAATTTTATAAGCAGACGAGGGTAATAGATACAATTTTTCGTTGTACGTTAATTGATATTTTTCGATTTTGTATTCATGAATGACGCCTCTTTGGGATTGATTAATTTCCATTCTAAGATTCGACGATATCATTTGAACGCTGATTATGAATTTCTGAAGGTGCTCCCCTGTTCTCCAAGGATGGGTCCAGGTCAGGTTCACTACACCGTCCTCGAGATTCTCGACGAGGAAAGTCTCTGGTGCTTCGGGGGTAATATCAGTCCAAGTAATTTGCACGAAAATCGCGTCACCTGGCATTGACACATTTACGTTCATTGCTGAGACCTGAAACATATTTGTTATCATCATTCGAGATTAATAATGGATCTTGTTCCAATCACTGGCAACTCCCTGCATACACTAATGTATTTTCTTTCTGGATCAAGCTGTTTAACAGTCGCACAGATGTGTGTACTCCACAGATCACAACGATCTGCTGCTCGTATCTCCAATATAGTTTTGCAAGTCAACTGGCATTGGCTGACGATATAACTTGCTAGCTCTCCATTCATAGGTGGTTTTGGTTCTAGCCATCTTAAATGCACATGTTTAGTTATGAAATCGGTTTCATAAATTTCGAGGGATCTTACTGGTGGCGGAGCTAGTAGAAATAAATTTCGACCGTCACATATCCGTCATATTTTTATAATAGATTCGTGGGATGTGTAATCTGACCTTTAGGGGGAGTAGTAAATGTCAGGCTATTGTATCGAAGTGGATTATATTGTTTATTATAATCCCTAATTGCGTAAATCCGTGCTTCGTACATTTCGGAGCCAAGGAGGTCACTGTCTAAGTTGAGAGAATATTTTACAGTTTGTTTTATAATAACGTGATTCGCCACCGCTTTGCCAACACCAGTAATATTAATTCTTGCGATAATAGGACCGGAAATTGTAGTGCAATCCTGTGGTGCATCCCACATGAGCACGTAGTCGTGAAATCTTAAATTTGTATAAACGGTCGTTGGCATTTCTAAAAATATCAAACTAATTTAATGAAAATGTTAAGCTCGATAAGACTCAAGTGTTGCAGTAAGGAAGACACGTTTACCTGTCTGATTAGTAGAGAATTCTACTTGTAGTTTTAATCCGCGGTGGGAAGTATAGGCTACGATTTCTGCGACGTAAGACGTATAGGGACGCAGATCTGAGAATGTAACACTATGAGTCGTGGTAGAGATAATGACACTGTCGTTTTTAGGCGACTGAATCTTTAGATCATCACAGCCAAAATACGTTTTGATCTTGAAACAAATTAACATATTATTAATTATTTCATGAACATTCGTAATTTTATTTAGTTACCTGCAGCGCAACTCTGTATTCTCGTATGTTTCCATTCGGATACAGCGGGGGATACCATTTTAATATGATTTCCTCATTTGATGTAAATATCTTACTAACATTCCTTACTTCTGACGGCGCTGTTCATATAAACAGACATATTTATCTCAGGCGCTATAGCATCAATAAATCAAATTAAGAAATGCAATTACCTCCGTCAAGAGTGCGAACTTGCTGTGAAAAGAGAACCGCTATTCCTTTGCTAACCGTGATTTTATATAAGGTGTAGGGTATCAAATGTGTAAACTCGTACGGTAATTTAGTCAGGCTTCCTCTGCTTATTTCAGTACTTGTTTCAATATTCTCAAATAGGAAGTCGTACCATTTACTTGGACAAGAATATAAGGGATCCTAAAACAGTTGTGTTAACTAATACCGTACATTTCTTCCAGATGAAATAAATAATTAATGACATACCACTTGTTTATTCTTTGTTAGTGTCAGACTAGTGTTTCCTACTTGTATAACGAAGTTGGTGGTTGCTGAATAAATTCAGAATTTTATTTCCATCATGAAACCGCTATGCTTTACTTAGAGATATATTAAATGTAAGTATAATATGAATGATAGCTTACAAGCGCAACGAGTTGCGAAATTGGCCCATTCTCCGTGTATACTGTGATTGTTAACCGTTAATGTGCAAGAAATTCTGTAAGATATACCGGGTTCCAAACGATCAAAGTAGCCCATTATTATCGAACTATTATTCGAGATTTCATTATAATCTCCAATTTGAAGCATTCCTGCTCTCTAATAAATCAATATAATTTTTAATACTGTGGCGACAGTAAATTCAATTACCTATTAAACGTGTTTCGATTATTACCTGTAGAACATATTGATACCCGGAGGGTAATAATTTGTATTCTTCTTTCATCGGAAGAATCACGCGAACGACCGTTTCATTAATAAAATCAATCTTCGGCGCCGATGGGGCGTCGATCCCTTAAAAAACATCTGTCAGTATTTACATCGCATGACCGCATCCTATCAATATATCGTTTCACTACCTCTTTTACAAAAGGGTGGTACGTAGAATCGTTTAGAATTGTCGCAGCCAGTTGTACAGTAGCCTGTTAGGAAATCACAATTGTCTTGAAGACACAAGCCGCAGGTTTCGTTGCAACCGTACCCGTACTGACCGACGTCACAGTCTGCAATCAAAATCTATTAACAAAAAGTGTCGTCTCTCGGTACTCCACTTTATAGTGCTCGGTCTTTACAAGAGTGGCAGTCGGTTCCCAGAAATCCTGCTGGACACGTGCAACCCTTTGTATCGCAAATTACTGTTCCTCTGCAGTCAGCATTGTTCTCCAAGTGTTCGTAGCAATTTATAGAACAATAAGGTCCCACCTTACCCTTAGGACAAGCCGTATCATCTATGGGAATCATTTAAATTTCGATAATAATCTCGGAAAAGAAACAGTGTGCGATACATTACCGAATACTTGATCAATTTTAACATCAGACACGACATTAACGAGGATGCTCTCATTATAGGACAATTTTTGACACGTTACGTTTGGCCAGAAATATTTATAATCATGGTAATCTTGCGTAGCTTCCATGGTACTGTATCTTAAAGTATCTGGTTCAAAACATATTTATTAGAGTAATCGTTAATTGATCTATTTGTTAATTAAACTTTATCGAGCTAGTGTAATAGAGACACACCTACTGGTGGACACTTGCGAACATTTGCCACGGCAAACAGTAATTCGCTGAGGGCCATATCTTCAACGCCCGGTATTAGTTTAATTTTGACAGATTTTCCCAAGTCAGCTGAAATTGTTTTATTGATTCGAACGTATTGCCACGTCGCCAGTTTGTGGACACCATTTACCCTCGATCCTTCTACTATTTCTAAGCTCTCTTGGTTATTTTCACGAATAGAGTCAACCAACATTATTTCCATCTTACATTCCGCACACAGACCAATTATTAATTCTATGCAAAGGTTCCTAGACTTTATGTTTAAAACAGGACTTGTCAGTTCCGATTTTAAATCGGTCGTGTAAAAAAAACTATCTGAAATACATTACGTTATGTAATTATATACATCATATTATTTGACTAATCGCGATCAGATCTGAAACGAATAGCTTACATGTATGAAATCGGAAAAGCATATACTTGGGACTTCTTACGAATAAATTATAAAAAGAAGTTCTCTCTCGCGACCGTCCATCGTTGTCTATATACGACATCAACAGTTTTTCGGTATCGTAAACTGAAATAGTTTTCGAATTTTCGTCCCACGTGATGATAAACGTCTTCCATTCAGTAGCAGAAAGAGTCTCGTACTATATTGCAATGGATAATAATGTGATTTTAGTTGTACGTAAAAGGAGATTCAACATACTTTATTCAAGTATAGAATAATTACGAAATAGGAAGCTCTAATTTGAGCACACGTGGGCTCGATAGGAAAAGTCATAGGCTGTGGTACGCCCATCGCACATTTTCGGATTACGGATTCCTTGTTGGACCATCCACCGATAATTATCCAATAACAGAAATCTAAATTATACTGTTCGGTGTCACACAACAAAATATGAGCGTCCGTTGATCCACGAATTGAAACCACAAATGTACCAGACTTTCGTAACTTGTATAATAGACGATATTCGTTCAGACTGCCAAAATTATTATACTCCCTGAAGCCTGCAAATTTGATCGTAAATGTTAGTCTTGTAGTTTAACGGAGTCACCGGCAAATTATTCAAATCGAACCTTCCCACCGCCGATCAAGCACTGGACCCATAGGCGTTTCACGAGAATTTGTTAGATTCCAGCCTGTGGCGTTCCAGGTTTCCATACAATTATCGTGCGCGTTTAAATCGCAATCTATTTCCTCTTTTTTATACGCATTCAGATACTGAAAGTCTTTGATATACGATTATTCTAAAGTTGCAATAAACTCTTTCGTTACGAACTTACCAGTGTTTCCGCCTCTGTCGGACAACTCATACGAAGGGTACACCCAGTTTAAATTACTATTCCATATTAAACCTGCACCATCATCCTCCGCTACGCATAAGAGTTTTCTACTGCTATGTGTATACCTCGCAATTGTTTCTTTTCCTTTCAACACTGTCAATCGTCCAGAAATTATAGTTTGTTGCGCCACGATAAATAGTAACGCCAACACGTTCATTGTAAATTGTTTTACTATGCACAATGCTTTCAGATTATCACTATCACAATAAAATGGCTTCGGTACGATTAAAGATAGCCGCTAAGAGGATCACGATTAAGTTTTGTTGTCATACTGTCAATTTAAATCATGCGACGCAGCAACCGATGATCGCGCTCGGAACTTGGAAATGTAGAATTCTATAAGAGGCAAAGGAACTCGACTTCCTACTGACGAACTCGCGATAAGGAGCATATCCTGTTGTGACAATAGTAGAGAGTGACAGTTATACGAGGACGTTTGACTAAAATGGATGCGTTGAGATATGTACTTATTCAAGGGAGATGAGTCGTTGGCAGAGATAATTGTTAGATATATTTATTTGAAAATCGATAAAAGAATGTACAGGATCATACAAAAATACAGTGTCGCATTTAGGTATTTTTTGTACATGAGCATGTATTATAAATTTATTCGCCTTAAAATAATCTTACAGTATGAACTTAAATTACATATATTTTACGTTATCATTATTAATTTTCGTACAATTCTACTCTTGACCAAACGGTAGACTAGGATTTCGATATTGACAGATCTTTTGTTATAAAAATAATTCCAATTGGTACCCGTGCTTAGAATCATTTTTTAAAAAAATATATAAGAGTTGGAAAATTAGGGCGAAAGTCGAGGAATCCATGAGTGAACTCTTCTATGTCGTCCCAAGCTGCATCTCGGTGACAAGAGTGCCAGTAGTGCTAAGATAGCGCCCAGTAAAGAAACTCCGCACAAGGCGCCGGCTGTAACATCGTGAAGAGGGGTGCCAGGTTTTGGAGATTTAGCAGCGAGCAGTAAGAGTCCTGCACAGCTCAGCGCTGATAATCCTGCGAGTCCAAGTCCTGTCCAAGTCTTCCTTAGTGTCCTACAAGCGCCAGCCAATGCACAGCAGACACCACAACCCGCGGCACTGTCGTAATAATATCTGGAATTAAACGTTTGCGACCTGTTTAGCGGTTGACGACAGCGTTTGATAAAATTTAAGGGGATGGACATTTTTTTGGTCGAGTGCTGTTACCTTCTTCCTTGCGTCCAAGACAGGTATAACGCCAAGCCGCAAGTTAGGGTACCCACTAACGCTAATAAGAGCGGCGCGTTCCTCCTATCGTTTTTCTCCAAGCCGCTAGCCAAGGTTGTGTTTGCGTCGCTGTTGGGCGGCGACAGTGGTGGAACCTATATAAGAGATGACCACAGGATTGGATCATTGTGTCACTCCGTCTTGTAATCGGTTACGCAATCGACGTAATGCAATTCACTTACCACTGCGGTTCTGGCGATAAATGCACTTTCTACGCTATGATAGCCGTTCCTCTTGTGTCCTGCGGGTATCATTTGATACTTGGGTGAACCGGACACCATCGGCATAGATTCCGGCCCATCCATGTACGCGTAACGTGGAGGTAGGTCACTGTGACCCATCGATACGAGGTCGACCGGAGCCGTGCCGACGTATCGCAGTCGTCCACAGTTGCTCGCTGGACAGACATCCTGCTGTCGGGACGAGTTTTCTAATAACGGTAGACATCTTCGCGCTGACGACTCTTTGTTCGGGGTGGACGTCTGCGGGCCCGTGGGGAATCCACGATTTTGCGGAGTTCCCTGCGGAGTGCTGCGATTGGGGCTGAACGTTCGGCCTACATTTGCGTAAAACAAAAATTTTTGTACTCGCAGTGTTTTATTTTTTCGCTGCAATCGTATGAAACGGGTACTCGCTGAAGAAATGCATACCGGTTGGGGAACCACCCGGTGTGAGTGCTCTTCTTTGTGGTGTACCGGCTTGATTGAACGAATGTTGCCTCTTCGGAGACAGGGTTCGTTCCTCGGATTTGGAGCGAGGTTTTCTGGGAGTGGTCAATATCTCGTGCAGCTTTTGCGTCGCCAAGTTATTTCTCGGGGAGACCGATAGTTCTTGGCCGTTCCGTTCCGGAAGGGCCGGAGGATCCTCTTCTTGCAAAGGCACTCTGCTATAACGACCTAGTAACACAATCATGTTTTTTATTCCGTCTATCCTCGCATGATTGTAAAGCTTTTACTTTTCATCACCGATCGATTTACCTTGTGGAGTGTTGATGTGCCTCCGCACCGGCGATACACGTGTTCCGGTGTTCCACGCGATATCTTCGTCTTGGAAATCCTGATCACCCGGTACAAAGGCGTATCTTCCGCTGTTGTTTCGACAATTTTGCATCTGCTGCTCCCGCCGGTCGTCTTGGTTGGCCGCTAGTGCGGAACGTTGTTGCACCTGCTGGCGTGGAATGAACTCGTACCTCGAGGAACCCCTCCTCTGCATGTGACCCTTTTGCTCGTCTTGTATGTACTCGTACCTTGAACTTTGATTATACATCCCGCGGTGGTCCTCCACCGGAACGCTTCCATACCTCCGATGCGTAGGGTTACTGTTTTCTTCGAGGTAACAGTATCTGTCTCTGGCATCGCTACTCTCGATTCTGATTTCGTTCGGCCCCTGGAACGCGAGGTTGCTCTGACCACCGATGCATTGTAACTGCAACGGGGGAGGCGGCGGCGGTAGATCGTCGCTGCTTTGAAATTGAGGCGGCGGCGGCAGATCGCCAGGTTGATCCTCCGGTATATATTCCGACTGACGACAAAACGAAGGATTTGTGTAACAATGCACCGGTGCGGGTTCCGACATTTGGGCCATCTTCTTATCCTTCCGTATCACTCGGTAACGCTCGTCCAACTTTGATTAATGTCTCTCGCGTTTTTGCTGGTCGTTCCACTCGCCACGACGCACGCTATCTTGATAGTTTGCGTGCAGCACTTGGACGTAAACGAATGACTCTTTATTAACGCGCGGACAAAGTTCGTCATGCGAGTTTCAGGCTTTTTGCGACGATCATCGTCCAGACACGCGTCCAACAATTGCGTATTTCCATTCACGATTTATTTTTTCGATTCACGAGGAACAGTAAGGTGCTGCTCACGTACGAGGGTGGCACCCAAGTTTCTAACGAGAAAGTTACCGTCTGTACAGGAGGCGAGATCTCTTGCGCGCGAATATGATTTGCTTTGCACATTTTCTTCAGTTCCTATTTATTCCCGAAAACTGCGCCGATCGAACACGTGTTTCCGTTCACAAATGATCACAAGCTGGAGCACTTGTTCGAGTTTGAATCTGTTCAAATTGGTTCTTACATTTCCGAAATGGGGATGAAAGTTTCCGTCGATGGTCCACTTTACCGTGATTAGAATTTGTTTCTTTCACGAAGATTTCACGAGTTCGTCGAGGCTAATTCTATTGCTCGAACGCGTTCGATCCGCGCAGTATGGTTGCCTCGAGCAAACTGCCACACGAGTTCCCCAAGAGCAGATGTACGAAGGGCGTTTCTCCAAGCGTTTCCAATGCACACGCTTATACATGTGTTGCGTACTACCTGAGGGGTAGTCAGGGGGTTCACATAATACGGGTCTGCTGTGCCATCGTAGGGTGGGGACCCCTGTCACCTATAATACGTTCCCTCCAACGTTTTCTATGTTACTACTACCCTCAACGGTATGTACGTTAAGGAATTTATATAACCTCGGCAGTATGCCCTTTATTGCGCCTCGCCGAGAGATTTAAACTTTAAATCCCGCTCCATATTAATTTTCTCCAATTTAAGTAACATTACTCAACTTCAGTGTCCATTAAATCGTACACAGTGGCAAGTTTAGTGCACGGGGTAATTGAAAATTGCACATTATAACAACTTTCACGACAATTTATCGTTAAGGAGACAGGCGCTCCTGTATCAGTAGAACGAAAAATGTAATTGGTCTTACAGATAATTCTCAAAGTTTATTAATCCATCGATTAATATGGCCATGAAAGTATTATAAAAAAGAAATAAATGATTAATAATAATTAGCAAATAAATAACAATGGAAATGAATAGCAGAGCATCCACAACAAAGGTGAGATGGAGAATTTGTCATTACCAGCTCTCTTATCTAACGAATGTATTTTTCATAAACGTACAAGCAGGGAACCAAGACTTGGTTCTGATCGCGAAAGGACTCCAGTCGAGGGTACTATAGATAATTTTCTGGGCAGCTGCTATAACCGTTGGGACGCGTGCCCCAATCGTAACAGCTGCTCCAACACATACGCGAACCGATCACAAACACGCTCTTTATCTTTCACTCTTCGGACACCAAATACGCTGTTGGGTCGTACGAACCGGCGAACGTACACGTTAACGGCCGGAAAGTCATTTCATGGAACAGGGTGGAACTCGATATGTTAAAATTCCAGCCGCAAATTGGGCGACGATTCCGGAAGCGGGACTTTAGAGGAATTACGTGCGCAGACTTTAACGGAGGACCAAGGCATGCTTAGGCAATGCTTGTTAGAAAAAACGTACAATTTTTGTAAAAACTCATCGATTTTACGCTCGACTGAATTGAATCTTGGATACATAAGCGTTTCCGAAACTCACGACGTAAATAAAGATCGATTTGCGCTAGAGATCAATAACAAAAACGTAGTTACGACAAGTCAGCGATCACCCAGGATCACCCAAGAACGGTTAGCGTTCTGAGAGCCGTTTGTTCGTGACGATCGCGGTTCCTATTGTTGATAGTACGTATGGCGAGTCGATATACACGCGTTGGTTTTAAATACCGCCTTGTAGCTGTAACTTGGCCCGTGGTAGTTTGACCTCGCGGACAAACGCAAGGCCGTCCGAATAGTAAACGAGTGATACCCGTACATTTGCACTGAATAAGCTAATTCAAAGTTTGCGCCGAGATACAGTAATCTTTAGATACGTATCACCACCGATCGGAACGTTAAAATCAGTTGGAATCGCGCAGTAAAAGTAAACAGTAGAGTGCGAGCGAGGAGACAATAGAAAGATAACAATAGATAGACAAGTTAGGCTAGTAGACGTAGACACAAATTGTCACAGTTTTCGCTTATTATCAGCTCCTAATACTAACTAATAATTTCTTCACTGCTTTATAATTCTCTGCTCCATGCCCGGCTCATCATCCTGCCCGGAAGTCAGCGAGAGCACTCCTACCCTCAAAACAGCGGTGTGGACATGCCTGCGATAAAGTATCCACTTTCATTTCGGTTCAATTGACACACTTTTCTTATTTATGTCTCGGTAAGAAAGTAGGTGTATTGTATCGTAAATAATACTTTCGACGTTTCTTGAACGAATTCGACGCGTTTCTTTTCAGTACTATTAAACTGTAATTCCTTGCTAGCCTCCGCGGGATTACGATCGGTCTCCAGGAAAGTTAGCTCGATTTTCCGCTCGAGTGCTTTATCAGCGACGAAAAAATGTTGTTCCGGAAGATCGAGAAAGTGGAATTTTCTCTTTTCTTGCGATAAGTCTATGATTAACATATTTCTTCTTCGATTATCACCTTGGATTTTTCTCTGAATTCTCTGATAGTCGAATATACGCAAGCGACGTACGTTTGTTCATCGATGAGCACAAACGGAGAGCAATCACCTTGAAAAATCGATTTGAGAAATCCAAGTGCACACGCGCATAGTCATTCATAGGACACGCGCCGAAACGTGTCAGTTTTGTTCCTCGGTCGTTTTGACATGTACTTCTGAGTCATCGAATCATTTCCATTGCCATTTGCTTTAACCATAAATGCAATATTTATCGAAGTGTACAGTCTGTTTGTCTTCAGAGAATTGAACGGTCTGCTTTTTAGAGATTATTAGAGATCGTAATAAATTCTGTTGGCTGTTTTAATTGCTTCGTTAAAGTGATGCAATTGGATTAATAAATTAGCGTTGATTAGAATCATCTGTACATACGGAGTATCACAAATAGTTAATGGCAGACTGTACAAGCCTGCAAAAAACCTGTTCTTCGCCATGTTGTCGGTTGTGCGATTTTTTCATGCGCAGGAGTTAATTATTAGTACACTTTTTGGCAGAGTGAACCTACTGCTCTTTCTTATACTGTGACTGTATTATACTCTGTGCAGCAGTCCCTTATTTGTGGGAAAATAAACAACAAACTGAACTTTGCATTACTTTACGTAGAGAAAAGGTCGACTGCCAAGCCCGCGAATTTTTTTCTTCAAGAATAAAGGTTGGCGCGATCTCTCGTAAGGATTTGTGAAAACTTATCGTTTCTTCCTGGGCAACTGTGGTTATGAATTGTCATAATAAAATATTTATAGAGAACGTGCAACATATTGAAGGTATCAGATTATATGATTCCGAATGCATCATATTTTCCCGTGATGATGTAAGGCACGATAGTTGCATCTCTTGGTAATCGTGACATCGTTTTATGAGTGCGGAAAGTGATGCGAAGAAGGCTTGAAACAACGCGAAGGTTCATCTATCCATCGTTCCCTGTTGTCCCTTTCACTGCGAATCGACCGCGTGGGAGGCTTACTCAGGATCTCATAGTAATTTCAACCCGAGCTAGTCTTGGCTCGCAGCTCAGCCTTCACCCAAGTGCCTGCGCCTGCCTCGCGCGGACAGTAATCTGACCTCATAAATTAATTGCGGAACCACTAATTTATTGACTAAAAGTGACTCCATCTTTTTTCCACGAACTCTCTTCTGCGATTTGGACTATACGAGACGCATATATTTCAATTAAAATTGAGTGAAATGTTCTTGTAAGGAAAAAGAATAGAGTGTGTTTGGCAGCAACTATCGGGAGCTGCTTGTTATGTCCTTCGAACATCTTAATGACGTTAATTATGCCAATTATCGCGTTGTTAATTAAGCAGACAATCGAAAGAAACTAATGGGACGGTTCACCCAAGATTGAGTTACGATCAATGAGAACGGCGATCTTATCGATTGCACGTGATCGGTGACAGCCTAGTAACGGAAACTGGATCAGTGGTTTCCCAAGAGATCGAAAAATCCAGAGCGGCTCGTACGAAGAGGTGAGGGCAAGAAATAAGTGAAACTGGTGTCTGAGAAAATCCGCGCCACGCCGGTACACGCGCGCGCAACGAGATAATTGCATCGCTTCAGCCGTTGTTGCATAATATTCACAGGCAGAAGGGAAAAGGAAAAAAAAAAACAGTTGTAGCAACGACAGCGCGTTAGGTTGTTAAACCTATTTACCGTTTTGCGTTCACGCTGATTGGATACAGCCGCGGTTGTGCGGCTCTTCTTTCTACCTGAACTATCGTCCTCGTTCCATTGTTGGAAACGAATTGCACAAGCGTGTCGCTCTCGCGGTGTCCGCCGAGACTCACGGAGAAATCCACGCGACGACGCGATGGCGGGACGAAGATTTCAATTAAATTCAGCCGGTTAGCATAATTGACCGACTGCTCGCTTCTGGTTGCCCGGAGATCGTCGTCGATTTGGCCTGGATTAACGTTCCAGCCAATTCCGCGTTACGAACTGGGATAGTCAAACCAGTCTCCGATTTATCGCGAGGATCGTTCGTTTAATTCGTGCGTCACGTCTCGTAGTTCGTCCTCGTCGCAGAACTGTTATTTTTCCGGTCACTTGGTAACACCCGGTATATTTTCGTTCACGGTCAAGTGCCTTCGGTTCCGAAGCAACAGGAAGTGCGAAGCAATTTCCGTTCGGAGGGATCCAAGTTGATATTTCATTGCGCGTATACATCTGTAAAATTGAATGGTATCGGCGATGGATCGTCGCGGCGGGTGTATTGAACTTTTTATCGGCGTCTTCAAAAAATACGTCTGCCTACCGTAGTTGGTTCTAGTCGGTTCGCGTGACCGATTCGTGAGACCGATTGCATAAGACAATGATGCAGAACGTGTACGTGATAAAGGTGAAAACGAAACCACCTTTGTCTTCCCTATACCCGTCGGAACGACGATATTCGGCATCGACCGTGGGAGGCCTGTCCTTCGTTCACTTTGGCCTGGGTGCGCTTTCCCTCCTTCTAGGCAGCCTGGCTTTATCTCTTCAAGGTCCAGTACTATCGGTCGCGTGTTTGATTTCCTTCGTGACCGGGTTGCTAGCTTGGAGAAGATGGTACATCGATCGGAACATCGCAATCTTCTTCTACGGAAGTTTATTCTCTTTGATAGCGGCGATCCTGTGTTTTATCGCCACGGTGTTTGATATTGCGGCAGCGGTAGAGAACAGAGATTCCTTTTGGTCCATTTTGAAACAGAGAGATCATCTTGAACTCGAGGAATATCTTGGAAACGATATCTTGCTGAATAAAACGATGTCGTTCAATGAAGATGCTTTCAACCTCAGTAGAATCAACGACCAGACTTCGAGGGTCCATTTTTATGCGCCTACACCTGGAATTACATTTGACAACATGTCTAACATATCTGGCTACATTTTGCGAACATCGACCACTGATTCTGAAGAGATCGATGTCGGAAACTCTAGCAGAATGCTCGCTGACGTTAATTTTGGAAATGGAGGAACGTCGCTGGATCTGCAGAATATCACCGGAAAGTCCTTGGGAATAACTAGAAACAAAGTGATGTCACTCGGTCACGATGATCATGTTAAGTCGTCGCACAGTAAAATCTTGCTTACTGTGAATGTATTAGTAGCATCCCTTCTCGAGGCATTTTGGTCAGCTTTGAGCGCCAGGATAGCGTTACGAGGGATGATGAACCGATTGCCGGAAGGTAGTTACGTGAACGGAGCAACCGGGAATACGAAGTCGGAAAGAGCGAGGGCAGGAAAGAGAAAGCCACCAGCACCGAGGCCGGATATCTTGGACCACGATCGGAGATTATCGGAAAGCTTGCAAAATTTGACTACAATGCACGGCCTTAGAAATTCAGGACCAAGGTTACCTCTGCCAGAATCCAGCAGAGAATTCAGAGAAAGGGTCGAGAGGTTCCTGGCTAATCAGGCAGCGCACCGTGTTGTCGAAGAACCGTGCTCTTGAAATTAAAATATCGAACTTTAAACAGGACAATGAGACTGTGCTGCGATCGATGTTCATTTTTGACCGGTCACTTTCGCTTTGTGTGTTGCGATAGCGCATCTGCTAAAGGATTAAAATGTAACATCCGCAACTTGCATTCTTTGATCTCAGAATGTATGCAAGTATCTAATGCATTTACGTAATCGTAATAGAGTAGACTAGTAGGTACTTTTATGCAACGTTACCATCGCGTGATTTACTACTTGGCTGATACGATAAAGTTGTACGCATTGATTAGTACTAATTTCTTTCATTTACGGTATTAATTCTCGACTTGGTATAAACGGAGTGTTAAACGTATTGTGAGCAATTTGTAATTAAGTAAACGTTCCGTAAAGTTGGCTGCAATTGCGACGAAGCCGCTCTACAGACGAGTGGATACAGTTAAGGAACGGTAGCCGCTTATAACGAGTCTCCATTCTGGAAGATCATATCGGGCAAGACACGATCCTAGAAAACGCTTTAATTGCGATTTATTAGCATCAGTTGCCATGTTTCTCTGCCACCGTTAATTAAATGATTTAACTTTGCGGCATCAAACCGTTTTAAACTCGAGTCAGACGGGATATTGGGAGCATGAAACCGTGCTCCCGTGAATTCGTATTTTTCCCGTCTTTGTGCTAAGAAGTCTAACAAAAGCCGTGCAACTTTTGTTACGTTTGCTAATTAATCAAGAAACATAGATGCAGTTGCAAGAGAATGATGAATGAGTCTTCGACTTCCGTGACAGATTTTTCTTTGCACCATGCATAGCACTTGGATTGCGTGCTAGCCCAATCGAGACATTTCTAATCTAATTGCGTTCATTCACTGCTGTGGCTGATTATCGAGCTCGGGTAAAAACCTGAATAAATACACAGCGGGGGATCGTTAATTGATAACAATTATTTTTATCCTTTCGTTAGTACGATTGATCGATCTAGATTACGGCGAAATTAACGTTACGTACAATGGCCTGGCCTCTCGTGTGTGCACACATAGGTACCCATTGCGAAAGTTCAACGATCGTGCCGCGCGTTACGAAATCCCATAATCTGATATTGGCTAACGCGCTTCGAGCGCGGGAGTGTACTAAGAAAGTTGCTGACAATAGCCGCGCTAGCTATAGATCCTGCATTCCCCGTTCGTTAAATGTTTACCTGGGCGTGTTTCAGTGACATATCGTTCGCATGATAAAATCAGCGACCGAGAAACGATTAGATTCTTTTTTATATCCGTTTATGACTATTTTTTTAATTCCGTTATAATTATCAAACTTTGGATTTTCATGGTTTTATTAAAAATGTATGTTTTTACCCTCTAATTCATTTATTACGAAAGGTACAGGACGTCTTCGATATCATTCTCATTTGTCTCGTAGATCTGTTTTCTTGAATTCATGTATTCCATTCAAAGATGTTAATCGAATGACATAGACAGTTTCTTTACAAAACAAAGCTTTATTTTTATAATTATAGTTACATCGTTCGACAATGTATCCGACTTGCTACGTATCGCTCTTAAGGTACACTTTATTGAGTAAACAACGTTAAATTATTCTCCTAAGCTGGCCTTTCCTTTATCGTATCCCGATTATAAAATATCTGCATTTGTTTCATTGTGTTACGTTAACGAACAATTGATAACGGCAATAGGCGATCGATGATGTACCTAATCTGTATTATTAATTCTCAGTACGATCGATCTCTTCTATATGTACGTATATATGTATATTGTTCTTGGTCCATTGGATTTTGTGTTTGAAAGCGAATGCGGCCCTACGCAACGTAAAATGCTCGATGAAGCTAACATAGACCACGAGCATAATCATTTATTCGTTTGCATACTACGATGTACCTTGATTTCCCTTAGAAAATTGTAAATTGTTGAATACGGAATTTGCTAAATCCGTAAGAAATTGTAGACGTGCGAAAACATTCTGTCGTTTCCCTGAATGGTCGCGAGAAAGGAACGGACGTTCGAATGGCAGTGACCGAGAATTCACAGAACGTGCTCAAATTGGAACTCATAACGCTTAGTGGCAAATATTTCGCAATAATTAACGTCTACGTGCGAAATCGAGCTGACATCTAGCAAGATATTGGCAAGAGTAAAGCACACATTTGTACATGGACGTTTCTAACGTATCGTCAAGGCAAAAGTCTCCATCGACGGAACGAGTTCCGTTACAATTTTTCGAAAATGTTTCCGATTCCCTTGTTCGGAGATTGTTGCCTTTGACACATCATCTATGAAACTAGCTTGTTTTCCCGAGCGTCTCTGTAATACGTACATCAAAGATTATCGTTACGAACAACATGGACGACATCATTTGATAAACAAAAATACATTGTTAAATAGGATTTTTCACACAAGTATTCTGACATAGAGTTTGTTATTCGTAATTTCAGACTTGTAGTAATACATTGAATCGTGGAAGAACCACGATTATAAACGCGATGCGTTTCTTTTTAATTTACTTAAACATCTAACGGTTAAGGTTTGCGTCTTATACTAACGAACCACAAATCACATCACTTAAATTCTATTATGAATACGGTAATCTCAGATTTGTGTTCTTATCACCATCATTGTGTACTACTTGGACAATTACCTATCTAGTTGACAGCAGTTCGTAGCATGTGCGAATCTTGGAAGATCTCCGAACAGATAAACAATCGACTATATGTATAGATGGACGTGGCTTTTATCGTCAAAATATTTATTGTACTGGATTGAGGTTCCGGCCTTTCCTCTTCGTTCTGTCGTACCATTATTTAATATTACCGTGCAGAAAACCATTTCCGATTTACACGTTCACGGGTCGAACATTGTCATCTGACTGTTGCTGTTCGCCACTTTGCCAACCTGAATCTAGTGTGGTCGAATCGCTCAGACAACACTGGGGTGTCTCTTCCTCTTGACTGCTCCTATAATCCCTGTAATCACGTTCTCTGCTTCTATCGGGATCCTCCTCCCGAAAGTATCCTGAAGTTGCTGGGCCTTCTTGCAATTGTTCGTCATCCTTGGACGTGTAATAAGAATATCGACTTTGTTGGATGACCTCGTATTGTGCGTCGGGTGCTAAGAATGGTCCTCTGGTGCTTCTTGGCTCGTCACTGTTTGCGTAACTGTCGGATGGAATATCGCCATTGTCCGACGGCAATGGCAGAGGCATTCTGGATCGTTTCGACAATTGCCGTTTACCCAAACGTGCTGCTAGATAATCTACACCCTCTGGGTGTTCCGCAGCTATGGAAATCAACGCGACAAAATCAGTCTTCATCTAAAACTTGCAGTTTTACTACGTACCTTCTTTCTCTACAGCTAAATCGTAGAAACTACTCTCAGGCCCACAACATGAGGAAACGTCACCAAAATATAGTTCGCTTTCAGACTGTTTCGGTCCAGGATTCGCTTCCTGTTGGAAGGCGCCGTTTTCTACTCCTTTTAGAGGTTTTCTGATTCTTCGGCCCTTTATAGTCCCCTCGTTGCCTCCTTCCGGGTCGGTACTGTTCGATATTTCCTCAGCATTCTCGTAATTATCGGAAGGACGTTTTGTGGATCTTGGTCTGTGATCTAAAAGGATAATAATTGTTCATTGAGAATTCCGCAGGTTAATACACATTTCATTTCTCACCTTCATTGTTTTCGAAGTTCTCTATCCGTTTGGTAATCCTGGGTCTTTGTTCGGTCACTTGCGGTCGCCTAGCGGGACTGTTGGGATCGCTGTAAGGTGGCGGCGGACCCCATAAAGGCACTGGAGTTTCCAAAACACTGTAAGAAGCTGTACTCGGAGTGTACGGTCCGTTTTGCGTGTTTAGTACGGAGTAGGGACCGCTCGATTGGGAATTAAGTACGCTGTAGGGACCGTTCGCGTTCTCTACGTTTGCTTCCGTTTGCCTAGCTTGAGTGTGAAATCCGTAATTCGAGTCTGGACTCGGGGCTGGTCCTCTGGATCTCGACCAAGGCAGTCGCCATCTCCTGCGAAAAATAATTACGTATCTGTTTAATTGACTTTAAGAAGCATGTTCGCGTGTGTTAGCGAACTTCTTTACGCGTGAGAACTTTTTGTCGGTGGGGCAAAATATTGAAGAAAGGTTCGCAGATTATATCTTTCCGCGAATGATCGTCAAACGGGGATCGATCAACGTTTTTTATTATCGGCTTGAATCAAGGATGAACTTTAAAGATCGTGTCGTTCATCATAATTTATTTCCAAAGGAATCTCTCCTGGAAATATCAAAGGCCGCTTAATTAATGCCATACATTAGCGGATTACCCGAATATAATACGTTCTGGGAGCCCACAGGACAGTTGGCTTGTTTACGAGTTTATTGCTCTCCGCGGCGATATTCGTGACATTCGTGAATGAAATCTGTTGAATATGTATCGTTACGCTTGGCAGCGGATGCATAGTTATACCTATGGCACGTTTGAATTGTATCAATAATTTCTCAATGAAGCTCGTCGAGCGTCGCATCCCGCGATATTGAATTCGTAACGATGCAATAACAGTACTCGTGATGCCTGATAACAATTATGTAACTTTTCCGGAGACGATTTAAACGATGCTGATTCGCGTAATGCGTAGGTACTTTGTCGTTAGCTAGATTGGCATTGACGCAGTAAAACGGTCGCGTTTTCAAGTTCAATTCAATCGAATTTTTGAGTAATCGACAAACGGTTTTAGAATTATTATCAAATTAAGTTTCGTACAAATGAATTTGGTTTGAGTAACAACTCAGCTTGTGGATAATACATACCTTGACGGTGCTAAATCAGGGTTGGGTGTGTAAAGGTTTCCGGGTGTCTGGGTCCACCAAGGACTGGCACCGCCGCAGTCGTTGCAACATCCACAGGAACCAGTCGCTGGTCCCACGGTGCCTCCTTGCCCGTACAGGGATCTGCATCTGAGCTCCAACTGTTCCCAGTACATCTTCTTCTTCTCGTGACTTAGTAACTGGTACACAAGCATGCACGAGAATATACAAGCCAAGATTCCACCGACTGAAACGCCAAACAGGGCTCTCAAGCAGGCGTGTAGAGCACCGTGAACTGCCTCGCAGTGAGGCGTGCCCTCGAACCGAACTCCCGGATCCTCTTCTGGCGTTCCGTAACAGGTGCACGACCTGCGCGTGAAAGTTTCTCGATTGTGAACGTCGTTTCAGATTGAATTACGAAAAATTTCAAGCACACTCACTTTGCTTTGGCGGTGTAAACGCATTTTCGAAGGCCTTGCAGTCGAGACATGTGTATCACCGTTGTCGTCACAGTAACGAGCATGCATACCAGCGCGCACACCACGCCGACGGATCCGCAGACTTTCATCTGGAAACAGTTACAGACGTGCGCATACTTTTGCCGAGGAAAAAATGTTTTACTGCAGTACTTCCGCGCGTATTTCCGCGAGGTCTTGGCGGACTGCAAAGGTTCAAAACTATTGTTGCATATGATGTGCTTACCAGTAGTCCATATCTATGCTTCCGCCTAGCTAGCAGCATCGTGAGTAGACCCATTAAAATTAACTGGAAACGAAAGTCGAATATATACGATTATTCGCGACGATATGGATTGTTCTCGTGCGTTCTCGTTAAAAGCGAGTTCGATTGATAGATTTCGATCTTCGCTCCTTACCATAATGCCAGGAATGTACGACGGTACAGTCTCAAAGAGAGCTAGACTGGCCGTGTGGGCTGAAAGGACCGCGTGTACCGCCAAAAAGAGACAACCAACCGCAGCGCTGAACCCACCGCAAACACAACAAAGGACAACATACTTCTTGCAGCGACCTTCTTCGCCTGTATGGCCTGTAAAATTGTAATCGGTCACCGATAGCACGGAAGCGATAAGCGGGGACTTAAAGGGGAGAAAGTAGAAAGTATTCGGGAGTAGACTCTACTACGGTGGCATGCCTCGAAAATCTTGGATGAATCGCGGTAAATAGTTAGGTCTCCGACTTTGAAAAATGAGACTGTTCAAGCCGGACGTAATATCTCACGTCGAATCTTTACACCGCGTCAAAGGATCTCTGAGAAATACGAAATAGCTCGAAGAATGTTTTTCGGTTGCCAGACGAAATCTTTTGTACGACTATCGACCCTTTTCAGAAAAAAAGTCCTGCACGACTTGTCCCCATCGCGCTGGTTCCTTCTTTCACAGGGATAATGATTGTCCTTGCGTGAGAATCCAGCAACGGGAGTCCTGATCTAACCACAATGAGAAACGTGCCGCGGGCGAAATTCTTCGAAACTTGCTAGCCAATGATTACCCGCCGGATCAACACGGTCTTATTTTTCGTCGCTAACTAGGCTTATTAGAAAAGAATAGCCCTTCGATGATGATTGGGTACATTAATTGTACTTGCTTTATTCTCGACGATGGATCGTCGTCCATCACTGACATAAATGATAATAAACTGATAAGATACTTTATATTGAAGCATGCAAAATTGGACAGTACGTATAAGCATCGTGTAAGAGCCGTTTTTATGATACGTCGCTGACGTATTTTATTTCTCAATCACCGATCTCAACTTTTGTTGCCAAAGCTCGCAATCGAGCCCAATACGCTGAATTGGAAATGTCTTTAATGACTGTTGAGCGATGGAAGCGTCGCCGCAATGTCGCTTCAGACAATAGCAGATTTCCTCTCTCGAGAGTCGGCGGAGCTGAACTTTTTAATCAGGTTTCCCATTAATAAAGGAGGGTACTGTGACTTTCTATAGAAGGGGGCCGAAGAACAAGTGAAGAGATCATCTTTCGTAATTAAAAATCTAATTATTTTTCTGCCGACGAGTAAAATCTATGCGGCCGGGTTCTAAATTGAAAAATTCTTTTAAAATGGGAACAACCCGTGACCTGTCGTTCTCGCAGCCATGCATAATTCGAATAGGCATTCTTGAGAATGAACTTTTCACGCTAATAAAACGGTCAACGAGACTACTTTCATTTTTCGATAATCCCGACTATTCAACAAATGTTCCCGTTGAAGCTACTTCGTGCAAGATTTCCTGCTCTATCGCTATGAAAGGAAAGGTTGCCGTGTCAAAACTTTGTTCCCAACGACTGCTTTGTGAGAAACTTATTTTCCTCGACTTGAATACTACACTACGCAAAATACTACAATACGCAAAACAATCTCGAAAAAATTGACAAATTTTGTTTTGTTGTTTATTATTAACATTGTTCTTCCGACGTCTGATTTCTTTTTAAAAAATGCGTTTCTAAAGTGCATAAACTTTTGGGATTGACTGTATAGCCAATAAATCCTTAAGCTTGCCGTGCTGTCTATTGAAATCGTTATGGTGAACCGTTCTTACTGGTCATCTTCATATACCTGCTACTTTCGTGAATGGAGCAACGATTTAGGATCGAATTGTTCAAGTGTACCTGTGCTACCTGAATCGGTAAGGTTGCGTTTTGGGAAAACGTAGCTTCTGGATCAAGCGAAGCGAAACTGGCATTTAAATAGTAGCCTGCGGACAAAATACGGCTCGAGGATGAAAGGAAACGGCAATTTCCCGATTTTCCTTGAAAAGTCGGTCCCTTCAGGGTGACCGTTTGTTATGGCTAGATTTTTTTTTCTGCTTCGACCTCCTTAAGCTCAGTTAAACTAAAAATTTATTTAATGCACGATGAGTAAAAATGATTTAGAATTTTCAAGATTTTATTAAGTCATCTTTAGAATGATATTAATTATGTTTTTATTAAGAAGCCTGTCGATATCTATTTATAATGTAACCTTTTGTTATTCACGTGACCTTCCACGTTAACGTAACGTACGAGACGCTCTGATAGAAATAGAACATGGATAAATACCAGAAAATATATTTCTCATTACAAGAGACAATTTTTACTATGTAGGAAAATACTTGTAAAATATTGTCAGTCGTATCAATACGAAGACTGACGTAAAAATACTTGCAGACACGAATAGATAAAATGTTCGATTTACGCTTAAAAATAACTTCTAAGAAGAATATGCCCGACGTTTTAATCTACCCGCAGCATAATTTATTTCTCAAAATGTAATCCGAGTAATTTTGTTATATCAGGGTGACTTGATGAAATAGCTAATAGCGGATTATGCGGGTGTACAGATCAATGGCAGATACAGAATGGGGTTGGAGAACCGATTGATAAATTAACAAGAAGGGTTAATCGGCATACCGCAGGGGTGAGGGTAATGCGATCTCGGGAAGTGCGCGTGGTTTGCCGGATGTGGTAAGTGGGAATGCGAGTGCGCCGCCATTGTGAATGGATAGCCCTGGTTATCCATCTCCATTTCCATTCCGAGACGGCATCGCACTATCTGGACCACTGGATATCCGTCCATCTTCCTTCTTCCCCCAACCAATACTTCAAAGCGCAAGTTCACCACCCTTAGAACTATTTTTTTTTTATCCTTGTCAATTAACACGTGTCAGTCATGTTTTTGTTTTCACAAGGAATAGGATGTCGTAAAAATTTTGCAATATTCGTGTTGCACTATTGTTCCTCTAACACGTTGAAAAATTTAAATTGTGAAACGCGCGAACTGACGTTAAAGACAAACGGGATAAATCGCAGACGATGTCGTGGCGCACACAGTCCAGTTCTCATCGATGGTTTATGAACTACGTTTGCGCATCACATGTCGTCACGAGGATATCTCTTCTCAAGGTCGATCCATCAATCACTTGCTTATTAATCGCGTATGATGACCACTGACGTAAATTATTCTTGTACCGTTGCCCGTTAGATTTATCACGATTTTTTTAAGAACTCTTGCAAAACGTGTGAAACGAAATATCGAATCGGTACGATGTTTCACTCACGTATTTTTTCCGCCGCGGTTCAGTTATATCGTTAGAGACGACTGTTGAAGCACAACAGCTCGAGAGGCACTCCACGAGATCTCTGTTAGCTCGCACGCTGAGGTGTCCCACAGGTGGTAGTGGCGATTTCGGTCTAAACCCAAAGCTGAGGGTTCCATTCAGGGGGTTTCCAAGACAACATTCCTTGCGCGACCATTCACAAGCCAGCCTGGATTAATGCCGGAGAGCGTAAAAGTATCGTGGAGGCTGTTGTTCGATTTTCAGCATTCTTCGACACGATGCTCCTGCTCTTGGTTGCTGCGAGCATCGCACTGGTCGATATACCCTGACGATTCGAGCGACTCGACGCGGTCGAGGGTTGAAATTCCATAGGGGTTGTTCTTGGAAGTAAGTAGAATCGGTCAAAGGGTGTCTCTCGGGCGTCGATAACGTATGTCAACCATTGATAAGAGGGACAACACGAATGCTGCGTTCTCGGACGTCATTTCACTGATACTGCAGACGCTCTTTGAATGATCGTCATATGGAGTGACCAAGGATGGAGCTAGGAGCTACCTTCCTCGCCTACGTCTAATTTCACGTTCGGCGTTTCAGGAAACACTGTCCGACTGCGTGATATGCTCGCTTTAAATGGAAATCAACCAGGGATGGGAAGAGTACACCGAACGGGAGAGCTATTGTACATCTGCCATTCAAATTGGCAAGCTAGCGTGTAAGAGATATTGATTCGGTATTGCGGCAGATATTACACGTTATATTATTTCAAGTACCAGATCGTATTCATTACATTCGTTATTAGGTTTTGGTAAAAAGTATTTTGGGAGATGGGCCGATTACGGTTAGCAATATATAGTTAAGACGTAAGGAACACTTACATCGATTGACGGATGTGGTTTCGTATCGTCTGGTTGGCCTAGGGGGTGGACGAGGCGGAAGCGCGGGAGGTTGATGCGTTCTCGATGTCACTTCAACACCGCCGTCGCTTTCACCCTCTTGTCCTCGCTTGTTTCCTCCAGTTTGCATCACGTGACATTGACACTTACTTTTCGACGGTGACGATACCTAAATTTTATATGAAGTATTTAGGAAATTTTTCAAGTGGAAAGATAATTTTGTCAAAAACTGTTTGCTGGTCGCTCGGAAACGATTAAATTGCCCTAGCATGATAATAAATTGTTTAATGAACAGAGCAACCATCGTTTTGTGTCAACGACCAAATGCGCTAATGATTAACGATCGTTGTCGGCTACAGGCGTATTTAGATTTCACCGTAATTATCGTTGCACAGTGTACGCGATACATCGTTGAAATGATACGCAATGATAATCGGACGAATTAATTTCTCTAAAATCGAAGGTGAATAGACCGTTTTTATGCATCGTATACGTTCACATAAAATTACCTGTATCGAATCTACCCCGATAAGAGACGTATTCTTGGTATCGTTGTTCGACGGATGTTGATGACCATGACTGTGCACGTGTCCGTGATGATGCCCGTGATGCTCCAGACTCGATGGAGCTCTGTCTCTTTGCCGGGACTCGGGGTGGCCGGTGTGCAACGAATGCACTTGTTGTAAATGATGATGATGATCGTGGACGTGATCCAAACGACTGTGCGTTCTCGTATTGGCGTTCGACGAGGAAGATTCGCAGGATATGCCAGAGCTGACATGATGATGATTCACGCTAGAGTGGCCGGTTAAACTGCCAGACGAGCTGCCGCGGTGATGGCTAGCGAGCGGCGTAGTTGAAAGGCTACTATTCGTATTGACTACGTGTCGATGCACCGCCGGCGAACCCCCGTGATTTAACATACTCGAATTCGATGATGCTCCGCTCATCGCGCTGCAAGTGCCATGGTGATCGCTGGAAAAACCTGAGTTCGGGGGATAGTGACCGGAAAGAGTAGCGGCACCGCCGAGACGATGATGACTTGTCGGTGAATTTCTCGGTATCGGATTAGGGTGATGATGGGTAGCTGGATTTCCCGGTGCGTTTTGGCTACCGTGATTCGAACCGGGATTAGTTAAAGGTACGGTGGTCCCGTGAACGTGACTGGTCAGGCTAGGCGCCAGATTTCCATGATGATGTCCGGTCATTGCTTGCGGACCGAGCGGATGATGCACGGTCGCCGGCCCGTGATGATGGGTCACGTTCGTAGTTTTGGTGTTTCCGTGGTGATGATGAGTGTGTTGTCGCTGGTGTTGCTGAAATCCCATCAGACCGTCTCCGACATCCAAATTCGTGGTGTTTCGGAAATTGTCGGCATGCTTGTGAACGTGCGCGTGAGCGTCACCGTGGAAATGTCCGTGGACGTTACGTTCCGCCGATGTCGGCTCGTGATGGTGTTGATAAGGATTTAAAACCTGCTGAATATTCTTCAGCTTATCTTTGCTCGAAGCGGTCGGCTTCTGCGATAACCCGGCGTGATCCTCGAGTTGCTTGTCGAGATCCTTCGCGGCCGGCTCCAGCAGGGCTGAACTAGACTCTAACAAAGGGCTAGGGCTGGAAGTTAGACTGTGCTGGTTATCCTGCAAGTTGCTGGATTCCTGAACTCTTCGCGCAGCCTCGAACGCCAAGTTTCGAGAGAGGTCCAAGTTCCTCGGGCTGCATGAAAGATTGTGACTGTGCCTCGACAAAATCGCGCTTTGACCGTCGATCGATCTTGCGTTCGGCGATAACCCGGCCTGATGCTCCAAGATATCGACGTTCCTGGTATTCTCCAAATTGATCTGTTGGCTTTCTTGATGCGTTAGTGGACTTTCCAGTCTTCTTATTGGTTCGAAAGCACTCTGCAGTGCCTCCAGACCCCTAGGGAGTTCTTGATTGTTGGAAATTCTTGTACTTCCGACGCTCCTCTCCGCCCTGTCTCGCTGCGTCCTCATGGAATCTATGCTGCTCATCGCGGAGCACTGGCAAGGGTGTTGCGGACTCTTCGGGACATCCAGGTCGGTGGTTAATTGCGGCTGAGACATGTTAACACCTGAAAAAACGATCGCGGTGAATCGATAAAAGAACGAGTAAACGAATGACCATCACTGACCATGTGAATTAAATGACAAGATCATAATACAATCATCGATTAATTTATCGAGTAATCTAAGAACCAAAGACGATGCATCGGTGTGTTAATTTTCGCGATCACGATCGATCGCGAATAGTTCACGGTTCACTCGCAGCGCATTTCTCGCATCTCGTCGATAGCCGATTCGTTTCCATACTGCCGCCTTGTTGAACTTGATAAATCGCTTCAGATTACGAAACAGCGGGAGTCAGCATAAACGATATTCGCGTACGAGGAAAATAAAACGATTTTCGTTTCAAAAGTGTTCGCGCTTCTGATACAAATCGTTTGGTAAAGGGAGTCACGGTTTGCCGATGATTCGTGAAAAGCTGGCCTATCGGTTAAGAAACTAACGAATCTCCCCAATTACGGCACAATACGAATTGTAAGGCATGGGATGATGCTAACTGTGGATATCGCATCCGTTCCGGACGCGGAAATGCGGAAAACTTTCGCAGCCTATTAGCGCCTTCCGTCGTTAAAACTTCCTCGAATAGCTTTCAACGAACTTATATATATATAGATATATATATATAAATATCTTGGCGAACATTAGACGATTCTTCCCGGCTTGTGAAGAGTGGCTTTTATGCTTCGGTATTGTATTTATTTGGAAGAATACCGGTCTATAACTCGCCCCATATTACCTCGTTAAAAAATTGTTACGTACACCGATAATAATGCCGGGAACCATCCATCTTGTTTGCAGGAAGTCACTTAATGACTTCATTATTACTCGAAAGAAAAGCTACATGTCGCATGGCGTACAGGTTCTATCGATCAACTGACTGAGTGCGTCACCGTCGCGATTATTACGATGTATATACATTTAACGTGGTGTTAGCCTAGTACCGTAACTCGAACGTGCGTAGATACAGGTAGATAGGTAGACAGCTCTTTATCATGAGCTTAGGTCAGTGTCCAGACGAGGATATAATCTAAAGTTTAATAGGGGTTGATCATTACCAAGAAACTAGGGTGATAGGGAAACAGATTGAAAGCAGCGTATAATTTGCCTGAAACTGACTCTTAAATTCTACTCGACACGAGATCGTGTTTAACGAGGAAACTTTGGTGACAATCTGATTACTACTGTATGCTGACATTTTTGGTAGAGAACATTGTACTATCACTCTTCTTCTCATCGGCCATTACCAGTGACCGTAAGCAGACCGATTTATGGCTACTTTAAAGGGAAATCTACTTAGTTCTAATGGCTCCTTTGCATTTCACCTGCAAAATCGATCACATCGACCGCTACCTTAAAGCACATTTGGTATCGAGCATCTAGTTACGGACAACCAGTCCGAGGGTAGTCCTCGTAAGTACAGCCGGTGGACTCTCGGCCACTCACATTCCTCGTATCTCGTTATACGAGCGCAAAGGCTCTGAAGGCCATGGTCAAGTTCGAAGCCGATGGCGTTGCTTGGACGCGGTTAAGTTTTTCTGTCGTTCAACGATCTCTCGAATCGATGGAAGAATGGGAATACTTCGTGGCACGTGGATTTAATTCCGTTCGCGCAGAAAATCGACAAGCTCTCCCCACTACGTGGACCGCCGTTCCAGACGGTTCTCATCGAGTACTCGATTCGTAAAAAATTTTTCGAGCTATACGAACACTTACGCCTGTAAACCCCATGTAACAAGTAAGACAAGATTGCCGGCTCACGATTGATCGATCGTTTAATAGCAGAAAATTATTTTCGTTCAGGCTCGAAAAACGAGAACGATTCGAAAGATTAACGATCTTTCGAAACGAATCTATTCCCGTCCTTTATCCGAAGGTTAGCAGCTGTTAATTTCTAGTATTCAGATAAGCTATTCTGTCTCGTTTCTTTTGCTACGAATACCGGTTTCGCCGTCGCAAATAAATGGAACGCCTATGTCAACAGCTTCAACCGCGGCACGAAATTTTGCGATACGAGCGTAACTCGTGCAAGTGCAGGATATTAAACGTTCCCACAGTGTGCGTCGCAGTGACGCGAGAAAAATCTTCAATGAAACGAACGCCTTAGTTTCCGATAGCTTTTCCGATACGTGGTTATAGATACACGCAATAATTCGAATACGTTGCGATCCATCGCCTGGCGCGTATTAAAAGAACGATAGTCGCGGCTCGCAGCTCACCTGCTTGATCGAATATTCAAGTGCTCCGCTCTGCCGGATCCTCTCAATCACTGTCTCCCGGTGACGCTCCTTCCGCATGCCCGATGATCGTACCACGGACTTGAACACGGGTCAAAAGTCTATTTTCGACACGGATTCTCTGTTCCTTGGTCTTCCCACTGGAATACCGTAGCACGTAGCGAGGAGAACGCATTTCCGAAACGTCGAATCACGCGCGTGGCGCCAAAAAACACGACTTGCATGTACACGGTGCGCCTTACCGGAGATCACGAAACCTTTATCACACACAGCACACGTCGCTCTTCTTCTCGGCGTCGACCGCGAAGTCTTGTTAATCCGATTCCGAGGCTCGGCTCGTATCGCGTCTCGTTTCATGAACGTAGCATCGCAACGGCACACGGCACACGGCGGTCCCACGGCGACGGGTGAAGACGAGCGACGAGCTCTCTGGAAGAAAGGAAACGACGAGGATAAGAGCCGGAGCGCAATATCGTGAGAGACTGTTGGTGCCTTCCACCTTCACTGGCAGCCGTTCTGCCTTGGAATGTGCCTTCGACCCCTCGAGCCCCTCACCGCTCTTGTACCGGGCCCAGAGCTCGAGTGAGGGACCCTCAGGATCTCTCTTACGCTCTTACGCCGGCAGCCCCCGCTCTGTCCCACCGGTCGAAGCTCGACCGTCGATTCGGTTCTGGGACCGCAAGTGTCAGGCCCACCCACTCTCGTACAGACCCAACGAGACTCGTTGGATAGGGTAGATTGCTTGACATTGTTAAGCGCCCAAACACCGAGGAGAGTAGCCTAAATCAGAATCGTGTTAAATTCGCAAAAATTCTTTAACTCTCATCCTTGTCCTATCGCACCTGCAGACTTTTATCAGTAATATGTATTAGGATTTGTACGATTCAAGAATAGTCTATTGGTTGAGAATTGACAAATTCCTGTGGACCAAGTATTTTTTAATTCGCGTATTTAACGGAGGATACGTTTCAAGCTGTGTGAACGATTGATTAGGTAGTGCTTGGAGCAGATGCGAGTTCACGGTTAACTCGGTTCATGAGCGTTTAAACTACAAAGGTATAATTTTCAGGGCAGGAATAGTGGGACGATTCTCGTCGACTTCAGAGCTCGAGAGGTCCGTTCTTTCTGTCCCATTAACACAATTACTTCGAATAATGGGTAATTAGAGATAATGGTAACCCAAACCTGATCATTCTTTAAATTTAGTTATAAAAATTCTTGACTGGTTACTCCTGCCAGAGAGGAATTACCTGTCTGCTATTGCAGAACGTAGGGGTTCCTTTTATCCAACGAGACTCTTCAAGCGATTCCAGGAATGGTCTCTTACCGATCGATCGTTGGTTTTGGCATATTCATTGGTGTTTGAAGCGTTTAATTGTTGTTTACGAGTATGTTATTTATACAAACAATCAAGGGACATTGATGGACGTTAATGTTACGCGAGAGCTGTCGACCAGCGTTAATTGTCCCATTGTAGAACGCGTTCCGGGAACGTGGCTTAAATGCAATGCGGGAAAGTGTAACGCGATATTGGTTGTCAATAAAGGGATGAATGGATCATCGAGAAAGAGAGCAGTTGCATGTGGAATACAGCAGAGATGGAAGGTTACTTTTCATTTGCATCCGACCGCAACCCGTTCCACATAAATATTCGATGCTTTAAACAATAGGACGCCAGAGACAGTCTTTACCGAAATAATATGGAAGCATGAGCCTTTATAAACCCTTCCATATGAATAGCCGTTGAATAAGTATTTCTTAACTCAAGATAGACAATGGACATTGTGGAATTTTGTGGAAATTTTCGGTATACCGATTCTCCCAACTATCTTCGGTAGCAGAGTATTATTTATTCATTGTTGAAGATCTTTTTTCCTGCTGAACAAAAAACCGAATGCGAATGAGGCTGAGATCGTAGAAATAAAAATGTATTAATTAGAAATTTTGTATGTACGTAGACGTAAAAATAAGCGTCAAAAACAATTTGATTGTGTCTATATAAATTATTCCTTGAGACACTCGTTGATTGCGATGTGGCCCGTATTCTTTATTCGCATTCTCACAGTAGTCCAAAGAAAGAAAGAACTCTCCAAGTACAATGGGCAGCGTAATTAAGGGTCAAAAGTTTTTAGCTTCATTAATTACGCCAACACTTCAAACGATGCCATTATCATCCTGAGAGTGCTGCAAGCAAAACGGTGCGCTATGCATAATGTAGTTTCATTTCGTCTCGGCTTCGGGGCTATTTTTCTGAATCAATCCAAGGGGAAAAATAAGAAATACGAGTGCCTTAATTGCGACAGGTTCATAATTATATTAGAAAAAAAATGCGCGAATCGAAGCTGCGATTCTGTTTAATCTGAGTCGTCGTTTAACAACCATGGAAAGTTGTATTTTGTAAAATTAACAATACATGTATTAATGTATTCATACGATAATTACAATGCGCACATTATAATTTTATTTCATCTACTCAAGCACAGTTTCAGTAAGAAGGTTTGAACAAAAGAATTAGTTGTAAGATGTTCGTCTTAAATATTACATAAATTCGTTTATAATAACATAAGATTAATTTTACAAAATAATTTGTAATTTAATGGAAATTGATAATTCTCAGCGGGTAATTCAAAATAGAGATTTAGTGCGCCGCATGGTCTACAGATGGCAATACTAACGGCCGCCCGTCCACTAAACGAATGTTTGATTTCATGTTTTCTTTCTCAAAAGTGTTCGTTGTTACAAAGTGGTACGCAGTTTCATTAAATT